AATTTTGCAGGGAGAAGCGGTTTGACGGGTTGAGTAGTGTTTCTTGTAGTAGTAGAACGTCGGTTTGCCGCTCTTCTAGGAATCTTTGTAGTTCGATTTTTTTTTGGACCTGACAGAATTGGAATTCCAGGTTACAATCCGGAGAAATGGTGGTGCCCGGGGGTTTTTAGCCATTCAGGGTGGTGTTTTTCATGTTCATAATGGCGTTCAGCTGTTGCTGAAGTACAATCATCTGCCTCATGATTGTCTCAAGTGAGGGTTGGGGCGGGGCCTGTTGACGCTGAGATTGTGCTGGAGCTTCGGAACGCATTTTTTGCTGATGGCCCCAAACGAAAGTCGACGGAGGAGCGGGTCTTTATGCCGGTTTCCTGTCATGCTTGGGAGCTGGGTGGGCACCGCCATAGTTCGAGCAGGTTTCTTTTGGCTTGGTGCAGGTGGCAGAAGCGTGGTCCCCAGCGCACTTCACGCACTTGGGCAAAGCTCGGCAGTTCGATTTGCTGTGCCCGTAAAGTTGACAGCGGTGGCATTGCGTGGAACGTTCGTGTTGGCGCTGGGTTTCCACCCTGACTTTGATGTGATTGATGTTGGTAGATGGATTTCTCTGCAATTGGTACGATCACTAGCACTAGTCGGACAGGGTCCCCATTTGCATTGTACCACCTTATGACAGATGTCGGATGGTAGTTCAGGCTCTCCAGTTCCGATTTGATGAAGTCGGTCGTCCATTGTTCAAGGGGGCCTCGGATCAGAACCCTGAGTTTTTTCTCCTCGGGGAACGAGAACGAGTGGAAGGGTTCCCCGTTATTTTCCAGGAAGGCCTTCATTTTTCTGTAGTCCTCGGCCGTGGCAGGGTGCATCTTAATGCCTTTTGTGTTTGTGGAAGGGCCAAACTGGATCTATTGCTCCTTAAAGTGGGCAGTGATGTCGTTGTATTTGGCTTTGTTTCGGAGCACGATTGGAGGGATTCTTTCACTTGGCGGTTGGAGGGCCGGTGCCTGAGTGACGGTCGGTGGTTTTACTTGGAAGCCTTTCCTAATGGGGATGTTGGCCGTTACTGGGGATTCAACTGGGCCACTTACGGGTTTTTTCTTTGAAATGATGATAGTGGGGTTGGAAGGCTCTAATTTTTTAAACACCTTCCTGATTGGTTGCTGGCTCTCGTCACTGCTCTCGTCTAAACGGCGTCTGGTTTTGCGGTTTGGTAGCAGAAAGTCGTCGTTTTCCTGTGCTACGTCTTCCTCCTGGTCCGTGGATTCGTTTTCACTGGAATCTTCTGTATCGTTCTGCTGCTTGACCAGCAACGGAGTATCTCGGCGGTCTTGACGTTTTCGGCGGTATGGAAAGCGCTTTCAGCAACTTTGAGCTTGAAGCTCTCTCTCTTGACATCTTCTAACTGTTGCTTCAGCAGGACGTTGTCGGATTGTAGCTGCACTAGGTCGCTCTTCAATGCCTGGTTTTCTTGTTGCAGCCCTCTAATCTGGAGTGCAATGCTGGCTTTCCACTTTTCCATCATCTGATCTGGCATCTTGAAACTTGGTAACACACACTGACAGACAGTTTGGTTGGGCTCTCGGAAATAGCACTGGTCAATATTCCCCTCGAGGCACAACCAACAGCGCACATTGGCATGCTTCTATGGATTCTGATTCTGGAAAACCATAATATTCCAATTTACCTGAGAAGTAGCCGACAAATGTCTTAAAGAGTCATGGAGAGGATGGATGTTGAACATGACTTTCCGGCAAAAAGAGAAACTCTTAGATAAAAGCAGTTGAAAGTTGAGCATTAAAAGTCATCCAATAAAAATGTATTTTCACTTAATTTGAATCAAGTTTTTTGACTTAAAACTTTATATAATATAGGGAGTTTCAGATGTGATGTGACTTATGTGTAAGAAAATAAAGGTCGTATGAAACCATAAACCTATTAATACTAACGTACGGACGGAGTCGATCTCCATTCAGCGCACGCAGCAGACCTGGTGATTTGAATATTTGAATGTTACTAATCTCACTCACTTTACTATTCTGTCATCGCTTTTCTCTCTCGAAACCTCGTCCATACGTTAGTATTAAAAGGTCTATCCATGAAACACTCCCATAGTTTTATTCGAAAGTTTACTTCAAAACTTCAATCAATGAACTAAACTAATACTAACTTAAAGAAAGTATCTAATGTAACATGGTGTCAGCAGGTGTAAAAATTTCCGGGTAAAATAGTCGGATTAGGGAAACAGTTCAGAAATTCTGTGACCTAACTGAACTCAATAAATTTGTTTCAAGAGCAAAACTCATTTTACCAACAGTGGATTCTACACTGGCACAAATAAGAAATGCAAAAGTATTTTCAAAATTAGATTGTGTATCAAGTTTTTGGAAACTTCCATTATCAGAAGGTTTGAAGCACTACACTGCCTCTTCAACCCTTTATGGAAGGTACATTTACAAAAGAATTCCTTTTGGAATTACTTCAGCTCCAGACATTTTTCAGAGTACAATGAATTGACTTTTCAATAACCATGAAGGGGTATGAGTACACATTGATGAAACTGAAGATAACTTGAAGATAACACACCAAATGGTTGAAAAAGCAGAAAAAGAAGAGTTTCAAAAACTTAGTGAATATCTAATGCAGGGATGGTCAGAAACAGCATCACAAGTCCATGTCAATTTCAAGTATCGTAATGAAATTACATATCTTGGCAGTTTGTTGTATTACAAAGACAGGCTTATAATTTCTTCATCTATGTACAGAGAAACTTTAAATTAAATTTATATCGAACATCAAGGCATAAATAGTTGCATATCTAGAGCAAAACATACTGTATAGTGGCCCAATATTGATAATTTATCATAGAAACAGTACAAAATTGCCATAAATGTTAGAAGAACCAGAATCAGGTAACAGATCCTATGACACTTTGAAAATTGCCAAACTTACAATTTCAGCAGATTTATTCCAGTACTCAAAATATCCAGAAGTTATTACACTGAAGAAAAATAAAAGTGAAGACATTATTGAAAAATTGAGAGAAGTCTTTGGACGTTATGGAATTCCAGAGATATTTTACTCAAACGGTGGACCACAAATTTGATAGTAACAATTTCAGGAAGTTTGCAAAAACTTACAACTTCAATCACATAAAAAGTATCCCCAGGTTTCTACAGAGATGGTTCAGCAGAAAGAGCTGTAGAGTTAGTAAACATTTTCATGTGGAAACTCCTCCTCCAGAACCACTATTTGGTAGAAAACTTAGAGACATTTTACCTACCACAAAGAAATACCTGAAACCAAAGCAGAGAGAGGAACAAAGTATGATTGTAGACATGTCAAAAATTTTACCAAAATTGAATGACAATGACCTAGTTTACATAAAAGATGTAAAATGTAATGGAAACATTGTGAGACAATGTCGAGAACCAAATTCATTAAATTTATGGTCCAGACCGAAGATGATGATGTTCTAAGAATAAACAGAAAATTTTTGGTAAAATTACCTGGAATCAAGAAAAAGGATTTAAATATTTAGAAAAAAGAGGAACGCGGAAATACTACAGAGATACAAGGATATGTAGAACCTGAAAGAAGACAAAGACGAGAAAAACGAAGACCAAAATATTTAATAATTTGTCAAAGATAGGGGGAGTTTGAGATGTGATGTGACTATTATCAATTATGTGTCAGAGAATAAAGGTCGTGTGAAACGCCCCCATAGTTTTTATTGAAAGTTAACTGTAAAACCTCAATCAATAAAATAAACTAATAATAGTAACTCAAAGTATACAAATGCCTTAAAATATTCGGAGGAAAAGTTTTAAAACACTCTGTTCCTGTAGGTAGGTATTATTTCCTTACAAAACAGAGAACATAAAAATGGCCACCCTTATAAGCTACCTGTCGACTTTAAAGAACCCCCATGGTCACTCATGGGAAAAAATCAAATATAATAGCAAACTCTATAATAATAGCCCTAATCTTCACATTGTTGTCAGATTTAACATGAAAAAATTAATCAGAAAAGCTTCAGTTAGTTGATTGGATTTGATTGAATACTAGTAGTGAAAGAAATTTGGGAACAAGTCCCGTAAAGAGAAACAACAAAAAAACTAATTTAATTTTCCTATTTAAATAGTCGGTAAACATCTATGAATAATAATTATTTAAGCCTGGCCTAGTAAAAATCACACAAAAATCGAGGTCAGACTATATACCTATCTTTTGTAATGTTTATTTGACTATCATGCTTCAAGTTCTCATTTTTGAATATTTAAATGATACTAGAAAAGCTTTCAGCAGCGTATTCAACAATTTGGAAGAAGATAAATAATGTCGATACCGTTTTTGTAAATTTACTAATTTCTAACTTTTGATAATAAACATCGCAAAGCTCTAAAAATAACCAGTGAACGTGCTTTTTGTAAAGTGCGTTTTTTTTTTAAAGATAAAAGTCAAACTGACATTATGTTGGCAATAGAATGTAAAATTGTCAATGCTTTCAAATTTTTCATGTAGAAAAGGCTTGTGTTGCCAACATAGTTACTAAATTTTTGACTTGGGGAATTATCTTTAAAAAAAAAACGCACTTTATTTTTTTCCTCAAGCCACACAAACAACAAATGAACACTATTTTTTTAACAAAACATTTCAAGGTGTTAAATGCAATATGGGCTCGTTATTGATAAGATAAAGTTCAAAAAAAAAGGCAACAATGTAAGCTCTATCCAATCTACCTGTGAACCTTGATGGCAGTACCGTCGCCGTTCTAACTTTTCAAAAAACCCAAGCTCACTCACCTACGCTACTCTCGTACGCGGTTCTTTGAATAGGCACTGTCTCTCTCTTTCCAGTACCTCCATTTTCCTTTCTTTCGCTCTTTGGTACCGAGGAGCGGTACTGAAGTAGTCGATTGGTTCTTGAGGAGCTTGGCGGATGGAACGTATTATTTTCCCGCGTTACGAAAAAACATGATTAACAAGTTTCGATATAAAAAACCCCTTCAGGGTGAAACTATTATCGATAGTGCTGGTAGTGAGAAAAAGTGCGATAATGACACGTTAACTAGAAAGGATAAAAGCATTGTGTTTTCTAGTACTTTGGATACTCAATTGAAGATGAAGTTAAGAGTAAGTTACCATCAAAATTATACATTAAAAAAACAAAGAGCTTTACAAAAATTCAATCGGCATTCATAATTATTGCTTTGCTAATTTGAATAGTACAGGAAGAGAACGGACACCTGAAGACGCTAACGGTATATAACTTTACTTCTTTTTTTGAAGATTGAGGCAGTGAAGCAACAGATTAGCAATTAATGAGCCGAAGGCTCATAAAGTTGATGGGAGAATAATTTGTAAATGAGAAGATGCAGATACATTCATAAGCAATGGAGATAATGAATTTTTTGTAGATCCCAGAGAAGGTATTTTTGCATTTTTGACCATGAATCTAAACTTAAAAGTGGCTAGGTAGGTATATATTTCTAGCCAGACAAAAGACATTTTTCTGATCTTGATTATTTGACATTAGAACAATAGGAGTGTCGCAACCTTCGCCTTTTAATTCAATTTGCATTGTTAATTTATATCACAAGATTCTTGGTATGATTTTTGAGATATTATATATACATGCGCCCCTCTTTCTGTATTTTTTTTTACTTCTTGCATAATTATATCCAAGGAAATAGGATTTCCTTTGAAAAGCTAGAAGTCTATGTTACTTCACACCATCGTAATTCAATGTTGCAATTGACACCGTGAGATTTTAATAGTTGTATTTGGTACTTTTTCTGGACCAATGAATGGTGTCATATGCGCTTAACCATTCAAAATCACGTAATACCTACTACTAACTATACGTCAAAATTCTTGTGCTTATGCAATTATAACCGTAAGTAAATGAGATCATGAATTCTTAGTAAATTATTATGTAGCAATACCGTTACAATACCTATGTGCATCAGGATATCGGGCATTATATCTAATAATAATTAAATTATAGATTTGCAACATTGACTATTGAGTTTGAACTAGATTAATGATGAAAATCTAGCTGAATCACCTTAGCTAATTCAGACAATGTCTTTTTGCACACAATGAGATTCAAACTGGTTGTTTCTTCCTTACAAAGAGCTTTTAATCAAAGTCATTATTCCTTGTATAAATTTTCCTTGTCAAGAACGCCTCGAGCTATTTTAAATTGCAACAAGTACCTAGACTTACTATAGGTTTTTGCTTTGTCGATGTTTGAAACATCTTCATGGTAACTTTTCCTTATAGCCTTTATTATCTCTCACTTGCTTGTTTGCATTTTTCTGAACCAATATTTAAACAATTATTGTGGTTTTTGAGTTAATCTGAAAAGATAAAGAATAGGTAAACATGAGGTAATAATCTTTTCTTGAAACTCTTTCAAGTGTCTATAAATTTTATGTCATATTAGGAAAACAAGCTTGTGCAATTTGTTTAGAAAATCAATCAATCAGATCTTTTATACATTCCATAAACCTATTACCCCATAACCATAATATTTTGATGTTATGCAACACTACAACAATAAATCGCGGTTTTCCTTTTATATACATTAAATCTGATCAGTTTATTAATTGCGGATAAATTTTGTGGCTTTAAACAGACCATGACTTTTGGCTTTTAAATTTCGGCATCGCCATACGAAAGAATCAAAAGATGTTTACATAAAACAATAGATGGTACCCTCTAACCATAAGTATATACAGTTTGTTGTTGGTTTGGGTACCGTTATAAGTTTTTCTCATGAACCCAGTCACGTTGAAGCATGGATAATAGGAGAATATATTATAATGTATGTTATTAAGTTTAGTAATTAACTTTTTATTAAGGAACATAAGAAGTTTTCTTTCTTCACGGTATTAGGCTACTGAAAGATTGTAAATTAGACTGTCTACCTTTACAAGATTTGTAGGTACCTACCTGCCATGACATTCCTATGGGATGAGTGAGTTAAGGGTCAAGCGGAAGAAGGCCGACATTCTTTAAATTCCAATGGAACTCTTTATGTGAAATATTGTTACGCATTTTTTTAAAATTGACCACCGACTAAGTGGTACTTTAGCGTTGAAGATAAATCTTGGTTCCTCGAACAATATTCATTAGCATATAAGCTCTTCAACGAAAAGCCGTGATTCAGTCATAAAGATTTCTCCTAAATGCCGCAACCGCAACGCCAATAATTTATAATCCATTTTATATTGACCTACAACGTTGAAGAACTTCTTGGAAGTTGCCAATTTTGAAATCGCTTACATAAAGTATTTTCATATTTTTTTTTTGTTTTCAGCAATTATTCTCTGAACTCCAACATAGTTCAGCCAAAGCTCTACCACCGGATTCTTTGAGAAAAGCTCTAGCCGATTCATTTCTGGATCAGCAAAGGTTCCAGGTCGGATTCATGGACGATGCAGGTAAGATAATAGCAATTTAATTCAATTTATCGCTATTATAAATTTCCTATTGTTTTTATTCTAGCTGAATGTTTTGAAAACATGCTCCTCCGAATTCATGACCATGTCGCCCATAAAGAACCAGAAGACGCCTGCTCAGCTCCCCATTGTATTTCGCATCAAAAATTCGCCATGACCCTATTGGAACAATCGATTTGCAACAATTGTGGTGCCACAACTGAACCGCTGAACTTTACTCAGGTAAAATACAGCCAAAATTATGTCGTTTCTATGCTAGACCTTGTCTTGTATATTTGATTAATAATTAAATAAACAACACACATTTCAATGGCGAATAATCAATATTAACGAGCTGCTTGAACACTCGTACAGCGTATGCTTACATAATAATAATTAGCCTCTCCTTAAAATAAATATTACCATACTCGTACATTCTTTTGATATACCATGCTTAAGAGGATTTATAATATAGTTGTTGTTCTTGTGAATATTAAAATTCAAGGCTATGAAAGGAAATATAAATTTATAATTTTCTTCGTAGTATGGTGGATCATGCAAATATCTACAACTTTTGTATAGGTCACTTTCAACATAACCTCAAAATTTCCGAGAAAAAGGCAGAAAACCATATATTCTTTTTTCTGCGATTGACAAGAAATGTCAGCATTTTTGACCGGTTGACGGGTCGCAAAACTCAATATTCTGGTATTTCAATTATGTTTCAATAGTTGCTAAGGAATCAATGAATAACAATCCGGGAAACACCGGCCTAGGCCGTGAAAGTGATTCTCGTATTGCTGAATAATTGGAACTAAAAGACAAACATTTAACAGATATTGAACCGATCGCAGAAAAAATAGTATGTGTATTTCGGTGGAAAAGCACATTCTCGGCCTTCGGTGTTTGCCAGCCTGTGTCACTTTTCCACCTAAATACACAATATACTATTAATTTTCTATTTTTCTTTTGATTTCGAACAAAATCATTCGATTGTGATACGAGGGTCACTAAATATATTTTTTTTTTTTGCTGATTCGGATGAAATTCAGAATATAGGTGAAAGGGGTCCAGAAAAGTTAATATTCCAAGTTTCAGCCCTCTCCGACCTACCGGAAAGGTTTTAGCCCCTATCCCCCCAATTTTGGAAAAGGGCGTGTGATGGTGCATACACGCCCTGCATTTACTTTTCCAAATTTTGAGAAATAAAAAATACCACCGAATAGAGGAGCCAAAAATACGTCGAAAATATTTCTTGGTAGTTTTCGCTCCGACGCTTGCTAAGCCTGGAAAAAAATAAAAAAGATTTTGATCCTGGAAAATTTTGGGGACCCGACACGGCGCTACTTTTTCGCCTATAACTTCTGTAATTTTGAACCGATTGTCTCGAATCAGGTTTCCTTCGAAAGAGCAATAAATTACCTACAATTTTTTTTAATTTATATTCCAGGCTGTTTCTGTCTCTGAGAAATAAGCTGTCAAAGTTGAAATTTCTCTGATTATTTCACTAGAGTGTATTACACCGGCAATAAATTCGGTATTCAGCTGACAGTATTGCTACCATCGCCTTTCATGAAGGGTAACGTTAATCCTTTCCATCAAGATAAGGGAGGTAGGTCCAGGTCGAATGGTACCTACTTTGTTTTAAAGGTATTTTGATTCTCGTTAAAACTCCGTATGTCGTTATAGTCCAATCAAGTTACACTTTGGGGAAAAAAAAATGTTACCTGGACTTTTATAGTTGAAAATGGTCAAGAGGCTTACAATAAACGTAAAAAAATAAATTCCACACAGGGAATAGTGGAGGGTTGCTTTGGGGGGTTGAATAGGAATGGAAAATGGTATTATTACGATTTCCGGCGAAATTACACATCAAACCGAAAAATACCCAATACAAGAGTTATAGATCATGCAAATATCTACAATCTTTGTATAGGTCACTTTCAACATAACCTCAAAACTTCCGAGAAAAATGCAAAAAACCATATATTTTTTCAATTTTCGATTGTTGTGTTTCATTTCGAACAAAATAATTCAATTGTGATACGAGGGCCCCTAAATATATATATTTTTTTGCTGATTCGGATGAAATTCAGAATATAGGTGAAAATGGTCCAGAAAACTTGATATTCCAAGTTTCAGCCCTCTCCGACCTACCGGAGGGGTTTTAGCACCTATCCCCCCAATTTTGGAAAAGGGCGTGTGATGGTGCATACACGCCCTGCATTCAATTATCCGAATTTTGAGAAATAAAAAATACCACCGGATAGAGGAGCCAAAAATACGTCGAAAATATTTCTTGGTGTTTTTCGCTCCGACGTTTCGTAAGCCCGGAAAAAAATAAAAAAGATTTTGATCCTGGGAAATTTTGGGGACCCGACACAGCGCCACTTTTTCGCCTATAACTTCGGTAATTTTGAACCGATTGTCTTGAATCAAGTTTCTTTCGAAAGAACAATAAATTACCTACAAAATACCAGGCTGTTTCTGTCTCCGAGAAATAAGCCGTCAAAGTTGAAATTTCTCTGAAAATGTATTGAAAGTTTTGAAGTAGATTTTCTCAAAAACGGTGCCCCGTGAAAGGGTAACTGTAATAAGCTTTTTTGTAGTTCTCAATGAGATCTACAGGTTCTGTATTCAAGGTTTTTCTCCCAGGCTCTCTGTTTTCCAACTAGGATGCTTTGAAATTTAGAAAATAAATAAAAAAAAGGCTGTTTTGAATTTTTTACCATGATGTACCTACCAATGCACTGGATTTTTTTACCTAGTTTATCATGGAAAAAAATTCAAAAATCCGCTGAGGGCGAATCGATGATCCTATCGAGCAGAAATTTGGTACGAATCTAGTGGAGTACGAGTTTTATCGAAAAAAAAAAAAATACTCTAAATATTTTTATTTATTTTTTGCTGATTTGGATATATAGGTGAAAGGGGTCCAGAATTGTTAATATTCCAAGTTTCAGCCCTCTCCGACCTACCGGAGGGGTTTTAGCCCCTATCCCTCCAATTTTGGAAAAGCGCGTGTGATGGTGCATACACGTCCTGCATTTACTTTCACGAATTTTGAGAAATAAAAATACCACCGAATAGAGGAGTCAAAAATACGTCGAAAATATTTCTTGGTGTTTTTCGCTCCGACGCTTCGTAAGCCCGGAAAAAAATTAAAAAGATTTTGATCCTGGAAAATTTTGGGGACCCGATACGGCGCTACTTTTTCGTCTATAACTTCGGTAATTTTGAACCGATTGTCTCGAATCAGGTTTCCTTCGAAAGAGCAATAAATTACCTACAATTTTTTTTTATTGATATTCCAGGCTGCTTCTGTCTCTGAGAAATAAGCTGTCAAAGTTGATATTTCTCTGAAAATGTATTGAAAGTTTTGAAGTCGATTTTCTCAAAAACGGTGCCCCGTGGAAGGGTAACTCTAATAAGCTTTTTAATATTTCTCAATGAGATCTACAGGTTTTGGTAAAGTCAATCCCGATGGGGTCGAAAAGTTTTCCTCTTGAATACAATGTTGACGTGTCCGAGCGTTTATTTTTTAATCGACCTCAAAATACCCTAAAACGCCTGTGTCTCGATGTTCGTGAAACACCCTGTACATGTATTTTGATAATATGATAGACCATACACCCTATGAAACATTATTCGCCTTCAGTTGGATAAATTAATAATCCCTGTACAAAATAATGTAACAGAGTGAAAGAGGTCCCATACGCATCAACACTGAGAGAGATGCATAGCGAGTCGAGAAACTCGGCGGTCTGATCTTGCTCTCCCATAAACCCCATAAACCCATCTTTGTTAATTTAGAAGCAAGAAATATGTGGTTTACACTGTTATCTGAACAATAAAGAAGCAAAACTTTTATAAAAAATATTTTTTATACTACCGTGTGTAAAGTACCCACTTTACGCACTATTTAGAAGACGTAAAATTTCACTTCACGCACTAGTGCGTAAAGTAATTCACTTCACACACTAGTGCGTAAAGTAATATCAATGACAGATGTTGACACTGTCAATTTAGTATTTTTATGGTAAATCACTTCACGCACTAGTGTGTAAAGTTATTGTCTAAATCTATTTTTTGACATATATTTGATTGGCAGTAGAAAAAAATTTGTATACAATACGTGCGTAAAGCCTCCGGCTCGTGCGTCAAAATTCACATTCGTGAAAAAAGGTTTACTTTACACACTTGTTGCATAAATAACTATTTTTTCCATTCAAGCCTTCGTTTTCCGTTAAATGGAAGGTATATTTGAAAAAGTTGATTTTTAACCAAATTTTTGCACGATGGAAACCGAGATATTTACATTTAAAGTTTTTTTCGGCCATAAGAGCTAAATGGTAATTATTTTTTTTGGAATGATTATAAAAAACACTCCCTACACTGACCTAGTTGTGCATTGGACCAATAATAAAGTAATTTTTTCTCTATACGGTGGTATCATTAGAGAGTTATTGGAACTATTAAATACTGCCTCGCAGTATTAAGGATCTACGTTATTTTATTAGTGCATCAGCATTATTTTTCCAAGGAAAAACAGTTATTGGAAGAGTGTAGTAGGTGCTAGAGTATTACCTTATTTTGTATTCATAATTTTGACAGCTGATAGTTATGTTTATAAATTTTAGTCTCAAAAAGTGTTTATTTCTGTTTGTGATTTTCTGCTGATACCCATTTTTTGATGTTACCCACAGTAAAATGGAAAACTATTGTGAAAAATAAATTTTCTAAGTAAAATTACGTCATCGTCGGAAAGCGAAACGTCAAAGTCGTCCAAAATGTCAGACATTTGAAATAAGGGAAGTTTACTGCCTCGCACTAACCATACACAAATAAAGACAAGCAGTAACCTTATTAAGGGAATCCTTATTTTCGGATACAATTGCGCATGCGTAGATGTCAAAATAAGGCTAATTTAAATACTGCTTGTCCTTATTGCACGTCCAATAACTCTCTAATATCTCGATTTTTGATGATAGTGCCCTTTTGCGCACTCCAATTTTGTATTACTTCCGGAATAAGGGTTACCTTATCATGTACTTTCATCCCTGAAAAATTGAGCTTGTGAGACCGAAGTGGGAAGCAAAGTCAAAATAAGTCTTGATCTACACCATACTATCAGAAGCTAAATACTAATAATTATCTTGAAAAAACCCATAGGTATTGCAAAAGTGGCTTCTAATATCAAACTAGTCTAGTATTAGCCTTGAAAGTACTTCTAATCAATATGCACCATTTAAAAGTCATTCAAGCAAGTAACTAGTCAATAGATATCGCGCTTATGCAATCTATAATTAGCATTCTTTGCTAAGATGCATTTTAACTGCAACCGGTTTAAATGGTTTATTATCCTTTTAAATATGTATCAAGATCAATTATTTATTCCAGATGGTCCAATACGTATCCACTTCTACTCTCGTCCATCAACTCCGCGTAAGCATTGGCCAAACTGGACGACCGGACACTTTTGGCAGACTGCTTCAAAAAGCTAGCAATATGGGCGACACAAGACAATGTCCTGTAAGTTAACCATCAAAAACCTATAATGGACGTTTAAGTAATACAAATTTCTTTTTAGGCTTCTTGTGGATCAGTAACCCAAATGTGTCGGGTCCTGATGAACCATCCAGAAATAGTTTCCATTGGCCTAGCTTGGAGTTCAGAAAAACCCACTCTCGAACACATAATGGAAGTTTTTTCTTGCATCGACACTACTTTAAAACTAAATCACGTTTTCAATAATGTAACTGATACTAGATGGGCTGAAACTAGTACTCATAATTTAGTAGGTGTAGTGACTTACTATGGTAAACATTACTCGACATTTTTCTTCCATACAAAGCTAATGGAATGGATATTTTTGGACGATGCCACAGTTCGCACTGTTGGCCCTCGCTGGGAGCAAGTTGTAGAGAAATGTCATCGAGGCAAATTTCAGCCACTTTTGTTATTATATGCAAACCCCAATGGTACCCCAGTTAACCTGGATTACGCTCCAAAACTTAATACATCACTCAAAACTACTCAGCAACAATTATTGAGACGATCAGTAACTCCCAGTCCAGAAAAACCTACTATTAACTCAACCAGACGAGCCATAACACCAAATCCTGAAAGCTCACAATTAAATCAAAAACCTCCACTTCCAAGACCTTACAATGAATATCAAAACCTATCCGTTATCCAAAAAAATATATCCAACATACAACAAGGTTGTGATCAAGTTGATGGTGAATATATTTCTAAAAAACCTCAAGTCAATATTCACAGAACGTTAAGCAATGGGTCTTCCTCTGGAGTAGAATCTGGAGTGTGCATTCCTGACCACATGAATGTGCCACGAAGACGAGATAGTGGCAACTGGAGCGGCGACAGAAACAGTGCTTCATCAGCTTCGTCAACAACAATGGAAAATCCTTATTTGTATTTAGTTGGCAAACTACCACCAGGAAGTCCTACCAGAACTGATGCTGGATACGATTCTTACTCAATATCATCAAATGAGAGCACAAACATGACTACATTACAACACATGATGAAAAGTGGACATTTAGCACAAATACCTGAGGACTATAGCAATATTTCCAATAAAACCATCAATCAAAATTGCGATGTGCTTTGCGATGAAGCTGATGAACTTCTAGTAAAATCCAGACAACTTGAAGATGCTCATGATTTAGTTTTGGCATTAGCTCTATGCAATGCTGCTGCTACAAAAGCTAGAGCTGCCATGAATGCTCCTTATAACAACCCACAAACACTAACTTTAGCTAGAATGAAACATAATACTTGCATAATGAGGGCTAGAAGCTTGCATCGTAGAATGACTCAAACGCAAAACCTAAATAAGGAAAATTCACCGGAAATAAGACATACGCGGGAAGGCAGTAGTGGGAGTGGTCGTCATTCGCGTCAAAATTCTAGAGAAAAGGGACAGCATTCTAGACAAAATAGCAGAGAGTTGCTTTTGCAGCAAGAAAAAGAAATGCTAAAACCTACAAAGAGCATTGAAATTTATGCTACATTGCCCAAGAGAAAGGATGCCTTGAAAGCAATTAAAATTGAAGATGAAGAGTATATGCTGTACAGTACAAAACCTTTGGAAAAAGATGCTAGAGAATCAAGATCAATATTTTCAAGAGCGAAAAATAATATTAAATTCAAAGAAAAACGTTCTAGAAGTGAGGACAGGAACAAAATAAGCCGCAGCGATTTTTCAATAGCTCCAGAAATATCTGCTGCCAAAGATACTCTGAAGAAAGCTAAAGAAAATAAAGAAAAAGAAAAGGAAAAAGATAATAAAGATGGCAAAAAGAAGCAACATAAAATTCGAAGAAAACTATTAATGGGTGGTTTGATTCGTCGCAAAAACAGAAGCATGCCTGATTTGACAGATTCTAATGCAGAAGAGGCTCAACCTCCTGTGAATGATTCTAGAGAAAGTCCCACCGAGATAATAAATCCTGGAATGAGTGGCTATCTTTCAGAAGGCCATCTGGAATTCAGTGCTGTAACATCAGCCAATCCAAATTTGGAACGCAGCAAGCTGATGCGAAAAAGCTTTCATGGTAGTGCTGGAAAAATTCTCACTGCTGCTAAAGTGCCTCCACCTCCTCCATTGAGGACTACTTCCCAACTTAGCAGGTCTAAGTCGAATGTGTCAGAAGTATCCAACATTTATGGAGATTCCAATATTTATCATAATTTAGCCCCATTCAATCAATCCTTGGAAGAACAATCTTCAATGTCTTTGCCATATTACGGAAACTCGAATAATAGTTCCTATGATGACGAGTTGGTTAATCAGTCATCAAATACTGTAGTCACGCAAGCGGAAGTGCATCATGATCATAGTGGATTTGATGAAGTCGATTGTCTACCTGCACATGCTCGTTCCACAGTATTAGCAGATCTTCCTCCATATCCTAGTCCAGGAGGTTCAGCTATCCATTCTAGACAGGCTAGTGAAGATTTTCCACCACCACCTCCACCCTTGGACTTGTCAGCTTTAGATGAATGTCTTTCGAAAATTCCTGAACCAAACAGTCTATTGGCTCAGCTACAAAATAAGCGGCAAGAAATTTTAACTCATCAAGACTCTAAATTACCTCCGTTGCTTCCAGCTAAATCTAGTGGAGATACTTGGTTAAAGGAACTGCAAGCCAAACAAGCAGCTTTGAGAATGAAGAATAAAGATAAAATTGATGATAGTGATGGGTTAGATGAAGTAAATACTCAAAGATATTTACCTGGAGAAGCTAAATTGAAATCTGTTAAAGATTTAGCTTCAAAGTTCGAAGTTAGTAATACTAATTTGAAGCCCCAAGAAGTTAAGGCTAGAATAGCTGCTGAACAAATTGCAGAAGAAATTCGCGAGGTGGAAATGTTAACTTCAGCAGTAAATAAAGTATTTGAGAAGCCGTGTGACGACAAATTACGTCCTCAAAAGAAGAAAAGCGTCTCGTTTTGTGATCAAGTCACACTAGTAGCTACAGCAGAAGAACAAGAAGACGACACTTATATACCAAATCCCATATTAGAGCGTGTTTTGAGGAGCGCAGCTAATAATCCTGAAACTGTAGCAGTGAAACAGGAATTAGTATCTTTAAGAAATCAAACGACTTTAGATTCTAGGGTTTCACCGATGCCACAAAATGATCTTGTTAAAAGAAATTCAATTGAAAATTTGATTCAAGATTCAAGCCAGATGATGTATTACCCTTCTCCTCAAATGCAACCTCAATATCCTAATCAGCAACAATATGTGAGGCCTGATGAACAATATTACACGTATCAGCCTCAGTACATGCCCCAAAATTATGGTTTTCAAGAGCAGCAAGTTCATTCAAAGACAATGGAACCAAACAATAACCAATCCATTTATGGGGAAGCCCCTTATAGAAACTATCAAAACGGTTATGGTCTAAATGAGCAGCCTACTAATAATCACCAACCCATATATGATTTAAGACAATCTCCTTATCAACCAATACCACAAAATTCCTCTGCTTACCAACCACAAAATGCACCAATACCACAAAATTCAACTCAATATCATCCAGTACCACAAAACTCATCTCCCTATCAACCAGTACCACAAAATTCATCCCCCTATCAACCAGTACCCCAAAATTCAACCCCCTATCAACCAGTACCACAAAATTCATCACCCTACCAACCAGTACCACAAAACCAATCTCCTTACCAACCAATACCTCAAAATTCCCAAATGCATCCTGCATACTACTCCGCCAGAAGAAATATTCAGCCTCAAAACAACTACAATAATTACATTCAACCGAATATTCGTCAAACAACCCCCAGTCCGAACCTTCATCCCCCTTCACCTGTGCCATCTGTTAGTTCTTGCAACAAATATTATCCTGCCATGTATAGGAATAGTCCTAGTACAGTATATCAGAGGCTGCCTCAACCTCAACCGCAAAATTTCCCTCAAGAGGTCTATCAAAGAGTACCTGCACCTCACGGTGAATACTCAGCGTACCAGCAAGTACCCCAATCGAAACATTTACTGAAAAAATCTGTTAGTTTCGAGCCCGGTACTAAAGGTTGCGAGTCTCCAATACCACAACCTGTGGTAACGCCTATCGTAGTTAATAATGCTCACAATAGTATACCTACGGACAAGACGAAATGTAGCTTGTGTAGGAAGAAAAATGTTGTAGCGTTAAATTTGTATTGTAAGGATTGTGAATTTTATATGTCTAGGTTTAAGCCGAAAACTTAGTTGATATTGATTGATTGAAATATAAAATTACAAATTTAGGTAGATAAGTTATTTTTTTATTGAATTTGAAGTATTTTATTGTACAAATTGAAGTTTTAATTAACAAAATTGTGATATTTTAGTATAGATGCTAGGGACATTTTATATTCCTGATTACTTATTGTTAACTGAACAATTTGTAGTTTTAATAATGGTGCTGAAATTTTTGAGTAATCCGGAATATATTGTTAAATTTATAATTAGATTTAAGCCAGATCTCATTCCTGAATATATTTTTAAGAGATTTTATTGTATAAAATGTCTTTTATTACTTGTAGTATATTTTATAATAATTTAAATTTGTCTTTAATAAAAAACCCTTTAATTGATTACTGCTTAAATGAGTTTCATTTTCTCTGGCGAAGAACCCCTATCCCTGAATTTTCGCTCCTTCACAATTGGATCTTCCAAATCAGGTGACTTTTGACATAGGTACCTCTAAGGTCAGTCGAAACACCACAGAAAAAAAAAAGGATAAAACCTGGCAACGTCGCTGACCCAACGCGGAAATATGCAGATACCTACTTATTCTCATTTATATTTTCAAATATTTCTCGATACATTTGCGAATGAGACTATACATTTTTAAGGATAGGTTGGCAAAGGAAAAAAAAAATAAGTACGCATAAATTGAATTGTCACAACTCCCCCTTTCCTACGACAGGAGGAAAAGTAACAGAGGAAACTTTTCCGACTATCAGTCAAACTTGAAAGACAAGACAGAGATGGGGAACGTTAGAGAGAGAGAAAACCAAATATCAATAAGCCTAGACATCACATATGAAGTCCAAGTAAAGCTTCGTGTGAAGTATCTGCTTACTACACCTTAAGAAAAACCACGAAGCTAAAATAACCATCACAGGTAAAGTGAAAGTAAAGGTAAAAATAAGCAAAATGCTAGAAGAGAAAAAAAAAAGAAAGAAAAGAAAGAGAAGTAAGGAAGCTTTGGCCGTCCTGTGGCGATATCCCCCGGATCGTTCCTACCTAGTACCCAGTGCAGACAGAAAAAAAAAATTTAATACATTTTTTTTTTTTAATTTTAATTTTTATTCTGTTTGCAGATGACATTTGAATTTTTTGCGTAACCAGTGTTGAATTCTACTTTCGAATTCCATAGTAGAACCTCGTGCACTGGTCTTGCACTAGATGCCAGTGAAGAACCCCTCAAAGTTCTCCACTACAGAACGACCAAAGAGTGGGTAGAAGAAATAAAAGACAAGGGAGAAGAGATTTAAATTTTCCCAAAAGACCCACCAACAGTTGGTGCTCCCTTCCATGAAGAATGAAATAAGGACTATGCCCGGTGGTCTCATTAGGAACGGTACGCATGGCACAAGAAATCGCTGCCAAATTCTCATCCCAAGTTTTGTGGTTATTTTGATCCACATAAGTACGCAACATAGTCTCCAACACTCTGTTCGTTCGTTCAGTCGGGTTGGCTCGAGGATTATATAATGCTGTGTAGAATATTCGACAGCTATACCTGGCACATAAAGATTTGAATTCCTTTGATTTCATTTGAACTCAATTGTCACCCCAGGCACCCCGTAATTAAGAAATATACCCTCTTCAACAAATTGAACCAACGACTTTGCAGTTGCAGCACGGTAAAGAAACAAAGAGGCATATTTGTTGAAATAATCAGTGACCACCAATACATGAGTATTGCCTTTTCGAGATCTCGGAAGAGGTCCTATGTAATCCAAGCTGATTATTTGCCAGGATTCTGAAATTGTTGGACGATCTCCCATAAGTCTAGCTGGTAGTTTTTCTCTACTTTATTCTGTGCACAACTGGTATATGATTTTACATACTTGGTGACATCACATCTCATTTTCGGCCAAAAGTAATTCTGAAGCAATTTTGCAGTCGTTTTTTACACACCTACATGTCCAGCAGCAGGAATATCGTGACAGTACTGCCATGCGTTTATCCTTTGGTACTACAATCTTCCAATTACTCGAAGGAGTAGCAAAATCTGGATGGTTATGTTTTAGATACTTATAGAGAATAGCTGCCTCGACTCTTCAGTTAGGAAAATTATGTGGATTTTGAACAACATTATCGATCATCCTCAAAAACCAAGTGTCAGTGGTGTTAGAAAAAGGAGGAATATGGTTTAACTCATTTATCCAGACTGAATCAGAGGAAACTAGCACAGACCTACTCAGCATATTCGGTACAATATGGTCCTTACCCTTTCGATGAATAAGTTGGAAGTCGTAAGACTGAAGTCTCAATTGCCAACGGGCCAAGCGCCCTTGAGGATCCTTAAGTCGATGTAACCAGAGAAGAGAATAATAGTCAGTTATGACCTTGAAATGTACACCCTCTAAATAATGACGCAACTTCTCGATACCCCAAATAACACCAAGGCATTCCTTTTTGGTAACTATGAGCTTTATTTCCTGTCTGGATAGTGATCTAGAGAGATAACAGATTACCTTCTCGCCATCATCAAAAGATTGAGTCAAAACAGCGCGAAGACCGTAATTAGATGCGTCTGTTTGCAGAACAAAAGTGCGCTCGAAGTCCCGACAAGTAAGAACAGGAGCAGTAACCAAACATTCTTTAAGATGAATAAAAGACAAAGGACACGCAGGTGTCCATGACCATCTTGCGTTCTTCTTAATTAACGCCAAAAGGGGAACGAGCAGTGAAGAAAAATTCGTACCATGACGCGTTGCCAACGAAGCGGCGAATTTCTGATACATTGGACGGGGGTGGTATATTTACGATAGCCTCTACCTTATCGGGATCCGGTCTTAAACCCTGTGAATCAACGACGTAGCAAAGATATTTAAGAGAAGGTTCACAGAATTGGCACTTACTCCACGAACCGATGAGTTTTGCATCAAGAAAACGATCAAAAATGATCTCCAGAATTTTCAAGTGCTCAGAAAAGGAGGACGATATGACGATGATGTCGTCCAAATATACCATGACTGGGGGTTCCAATTCCGGACCCAAAACACGATCAACTATTCGTTATCAAGTGGCAGGAGCATTGGATAACCCGAAAGGCATGCGAAGAAAATGAAAAAGAGTAAAAAGACCACGACTAGGTACTCTGAAAGCTGTAAGCTCACGAGATGTCTCACTCAAAGGTACTTGCCAAAAGGCAGACTTAATATCAATGGAGCTAATATAACGGGCATTCCTCAAACGATCCAAAATGGCCGAAATGTAAGGGATAGGATATCCATCCTTAGAAACCTCGTTGAGACGCCGAAAATTTATACAAAATCGGAATGATCCACCTTTTTTGCGAGCGAGACATACTGGACTAAACCAAGGGCTTTTTGAACGTTCTATAACCCCCAACCTTAGCATTTCCTCGACTTCCTCATCAATAAACTTTTATTTGAATGGTGACACGGGATAATAGCATTGTTTTATTAGTTTAACGCCAGGCATAACTTCTATCTCATGTTCAGCCACCTTACAGCATCCAAGGCCGGTACCCATTTTTGCCCCTTCATTTTCGATGAGTCTGTTGAGATGTTCTCGTTCTGAGACTGTGAGGCTACTTTCGTCTTGCACAGTGCAAATTTGAGTCACTCAGGTGTTTCGGAAAACTGCCAAACATTTTGCCTGAGATCTGGCACAATTTCCATGATTTTCCAGAAATCTACTCCCAGTATCAGTTTATGAGACAGCTCAGGTATAACTAAAATATCGAGGATTCGAGTCTTCTCCAACAATGTCATGGGGACTTGGATATATCCCATGCTAGAACAGGTTTGGCCATTAGCGACAGTACATTTCACCTCCTATTTCTGTAATTTTAAGCCCAGACTCCTTAAGGTTTCATAACCTGGCAAACCCACCAAAGTTCGACTGGCGCCAGAATCCAATAAACCTAGGATAGGGTAACCTCGAACGGCGCGACAGTGTATAGTATGTGTTTGTGTGTATGCTTAGAGGGCGTCTAAGTGTTAACCTCGAAGGGCACGAAAGTGTGTTTTTGTTATGAATTGGTGTAAAGATGTTGAGGTTGAAAGTCTATTGAGAAAAATTAGGAACTAAAAAGAACCATTCCCCCCCATGGTATACTTGGGCACCGCGCAGGCTTGAGAGAATCCTAATCAGTCGGGATGCTGTGGTGATGATATCTTCATACAGCGCGTGGGTAACGGCTCTTGCCGTTACCTTCCGGATGGCTCGGCACTGTGTCCATTTGCTGAATCGATCTTGAAACACCACAATGTACGAATTTCTTTTTGAAGAACGTGGTAGCGGTCCAAGCAAATCGGTTTTCACTGTTTCCCATGGCTGGTTGTCCTACGGTAGGCGAATCGTGATTTTCTGCCAGTACAGCATTCAGCATTACGTGCCGATTATGGTACACACACTTTCCATGGGTCGGTCAAGTTATCTTCGGTAGGTTCGGACATATCCCAGAAATGACGGTATAAACGTCCTTCTTTAATACAGTAGTCGGGCAAAGCACTAGGATTGTTCTCCACGGCCGATTTCTTTGATTGATACCAAGAGCATGGTGTGAATTTTTCCAGTTACAATCGGCGTAGGATTGTTTTGTTCAGTTTCGGATCCATCTCCGGGCCTATGATGTTTTCCATTAAGCGTTGGAAGGTAGCTGGCGCAGAATGAAGGTCAAATGGCATAACTCGGAATTGGAACAGCCCTAGACCAGACAGAGTAAATGCGGTTATCGGTTTGCTCTGTTCGGCCAACGGTACCTGCCAGTAAACCTGTTTAAGATCTATGCTGGAAATATATCGTGCCCATCGTAGCTTGTCCAAAATGGCATTGATACATGGCAATGGGTATGCATCCTTTTTGAAAATGGCATTATTTTTTGAAAATCAATGCAGAACCAGTATTTGCCATCTTTCTTCCGGACAATGACTACCGGTGAGCTCTACGGACTGTTGGATGGCTAGATTATTCCGTCATCCAGCATCTTTGCATCTTCGGATTTGGTGGACGGTATTGCTGTTTAATAGGTTCGGGGTTTAACAGATGAATCGGATTTTCAATTAACGGTGAAGTGCCGCGGATTTTTTCAAATTTCGCTATCTCGAGGCTCAAAAACTCATGAAGACGCCGAGTCTCTTGTTCAGTTAACTCTAGTTTCGGCAATGGCTCTATCTGGGCAATCGGACTACACATGTTTGGATTGTCTAACAGCTGGTTATCCAAATAAACTAAGTTGGAGGGAAGATCAAGGCGAAATGCGTGATGTCCCAGGATGTCCATTCCCACGACAACCTCTGAAGTTAGGTGTGGGATATAACTAATTTTCTCGGTAAGTGTAATATTACCGACATGCAATGGAATAGGGCATGCTTCAGTAATTTCTATTACACCACCTTTGCGCTTCGAACCAGCGGTGTCACTCCCGAAGCTTTTCTCTGTTTGCATAAAATGGCGGCCTCATTCCCTAGATAGGAATTAGCAGCACCGCTACCCACAAGCGCTGAGAACGGTGTTTCGTAGATGTATGCGGTCGGATGTCGGAAGTAACACGATTCGGATGGGAGGTTAAAGTTCGGCGGGACTGAACTGACCTCGTCGCAGCACAGCGGCATCGGGAACAGAACAGCTTTGGCCTCCCTCGACATTCGGTATGGAAATGACCTGTTTCCCCACATCTGCAACATAGTTTTGTTCCTTGTGACGGTCTTTGGGAAGGTGCGGGGCGGTAGCTGGGTCGTTCCAATTGTCGCTGGACTGGCCTATTAGTACCGTCGATACACTTATTATGGGCCGTTGGCTCGGTCGGTAAGGTCGACGGCTTATAATTATTTTCTGGACGTAGTCGGACTGGTTTGCAACTCGGACAACAACAGTTCCACTTTTCGAATTAATCGCGACAGTTTCACTACATCGGTAAGCACATTTTTGCGGATATATTGACGGTATTTGGGTGAGAGGTTCCTGTACAACCATTGCAGCTCTTGTTCAGGCGTTATACTGCCATGCCTTCGGATTAGCGTTTGCATATCGGTGATATAATGGTGTGACGCTTCATTTGATTTCTGGAGTCGGCGGCTAATTTCGATTTCTAAGTCCGCATTGGGTAATAAAAGCTGCAAAAGTCCTGTTCAAATGCCGACTAAGTATTCCTATTCCAATGAGCTCGGTTGTTTCTGAACCATAGTGCGGCCTTCCCGTGCAAGAACTGTTTCGCCATTAAAAGAAACGTTCCATTTGTGTATTTTCAACGGTGATAAAGGCGAAGGCACTGACGGTCCACATCATGGAATCGGAGCGTAATAGGAGTTTGTAAAGTAATTGTCGGAATCGGTGTGGTGGTTCTTTGTTCCAGTTTTGGAAAGTTAAAGCTTTTGAGTCATAGGTTTCGGAGTAGCCTGCCCTGATTTGATATAATATTATGTTGCTTATCGTTTTTTCAATATGTCCACGGTTCCGGAAACCTCTAGGCCGAATTTTGCCAACTCAGGTCTTCTTTTTTCAGAAGATACACCCAACTCACTCGCACATCGTTTGGATCAGACACGATGTTGACGTGGGAATCGGGCTAGTTGAAGTCCGGGTGGAAATATTTGCCGTACCCGTTGTGACTGTTGTCATATTAGTTATCATATATAATAGACTTCTTAGTAAGGGCCAGTCTGGAAATAGGGAGACGCAGATTTTGGCTCTCAGCCGTACAAGTATAGTGACTCCTGTCATCTTGGCACGGAAACTTCCAGCGGTATCCTGTGGCTAGCTGCCCAGTCCGGTCCCTTTTCCTTTATTATTATTTCTCTCTTTCCCTTTTTTTTTTGTTGTTCTCTCCTCTCCAATTAGATTTCGGTATCACTCAGGCAACAAAACAAAAACAAAAATATGTAGAATTTCAAAAGTGAACTTACGGTTAACCTGTTGTCCTCCTTAAAAACTCGTAGGTACTCGGTCTCGGTAAATGGTTCGGTCGTGGTTGATATGGGATGACATAAAACGGCCTCCTCGCTTTGGTTGCCCTTGATGAACTGTCCCTCTACGGTTTGAAAATCGGGTTTTATACTTTGCCAATGGTGGTAGGGATTGTGGTACTGCGCATACTCTCTTCTCTCTCTCTTCGGAAGGGATTTTTGGGTACTCCGGGGTCGGTAATCAAACAAGTTACTCCATTTGGTAGCGTCGGCTCACTCTTTGATTTGAGCATGCGAACAACGAAAATCGGTCGAAATGACATATTTCGGCAATTTTTCCCTGATGGTAAAGGATTTCAATGGTTTAACAGCGGTCTGAACAGTCCTTCTAACGGTGCCAGCTAAAATATGTCACTTCGTGCAAAATCCCTTTAAATTTTTTTGGGTCCCTGCTCGGGCGCCAAATTTGTGATGAGCTTTCGGTTTATAATTGACTTGAGGTTAATTATCTAATCGGTAATCTCGGGCGCCACCCTCAGTATTATAGTGGCTGAGGGTCCACTTTGCTCCAGGTAGTGGAGAAAATATCCCAGAGGTCAAACAAGAAGCTTTTAGAAAGTTATCTGAAAGTAGGGCTAAAAAGGGAACGGAATCCTGTTTCTGACAACTCCCTCAACCTTCCCTGTTAGTATGAATTTAATCCTATGTGGAGTTTTTGAATAATCATACAATTTGCGTTAAGGAAACCCGCGGGTAATGGGCGGGAGCAAAATTTTGTATATTTTCGTATAGTTCTCTATTCGTATGTCGATCGAGTGTACGCCACTGGTATCATCCTGTTTCTGGCAACTCCCTCAACCTTCTCTGTTAGTATGGGCGCTGAAAACTATGTCTAATTTCCAAGGTCAGTATAGAGCGTTGGGTGGGAGATACGCGAAAACTTTAAAAGACAATTCTATGGAGAATTTAGTGGAGAATATAAAGTCTTATAACATTTTCTTCTCGAAGTTACAGTTTACGAGCAAAACGCTGAAACTCGTAGTGAGGTCACGTATGGGGTGTTTATTTTTAGCAAAACGGGATGAAGCTTCCACCGGAGGGATGGGAACTCTCCGGATCTGTATTTGGTTCCTACTGGGAGTTCACAACCAACATTTCAAAACTTTCTAAATTTTTCGCAGTAAGTAGAAAGTCAAATAAATCAAATATCGAGTTCCATAACTTATCACTAATTGCATAATAATACATGATGATTGCGTGTCATCGTGTTTCCTCTGTACTACTGTTTTTTTTTTTTTTAAATGAGTAAAGCTATTATCTAATCAGCGTTGGAAATCTTCGATACCTAATTGAATTAGTTATGAACAGATTATATTCATAGTTTTTATTTAGTGAACTTTTATATGTTACCATGCATAATTAAGTTGAGTGACCGTTAGAACCTAAATAAAATTTTCAAAGAGAGTACCAAATGAAAGAAGCAATAGATGGCAATCCCAAGGGCAAACACAATCGGAATTGGAAGTATATAATTATTATATTTTAGCTAGAGTGGGCAGCTGTTTGAATATTTAAGTGGCAAAGTCGAAAGTACAAGACTTTTTTTTTATAGCAAGGGAACGACTAAAAATGCAGTGTGCGCGCCTGCCTATATTCAACAACTATTAGACCAATAACCTTCCAACAAATTACTAAGCTAAATCCCCACCTATCTAATACTTATCTAAATTAAAGTTGATTTTGTAAAGTCATTTCTCTCTATATAATGCGTTGATTTGCCTTTGAAATGACTTGACAATCTTGATCTCGGCGTGGTGTAAATAGTTATAAATACCGGCACCCTTGCAAATTTTTTCGAATTATATTATTTATCTACACAGAATGATGAATATGGGAGGTCGAATAGTTTTAACATTCCTATTAGGAATTTTTCCCATAATTCACGGATCTCGAATTTTAGTGATTTCTCAAATACCTACACACAGTCATCATCAAACTTATAGGCCCATAGCTAGAGAATTATCAAAACGGTAAGTACCTATAATTTTATTAAATAGTCTACTTAAATAATTATAAATCTTTCTAGAGGCCATGAGGTAGTGTTTGTTACTCCTATGCCAATAAAAGATCCAAAACTAACTAATCTAACTGAAATTGATGTGAGCAAGGAAATTTTCGAGGCGTTAGGTAGATTTGGTGGCTTAGACTTCATGTCTATTGAGGTAATATATTGCAAATAAGTGCAAGCATATAACATATAATAATAAATAACTTTTAGACTCCAGTTTATACAAAAATCCAAACCCTCTATCCAATGCTAGAGGCTTTTTTCGAAGCTACTTTGTCTAATGCAGAATTTAAAAAAATCTACACAGACGAACGTCAAAAATTCGACTTGATTTTATGTCAAATTTACACAAATCCCATAATGTATGCTATGAGTGCAAAATTGAAAGCACCAATTATTGGTGTCTCATCTATGGGCGTCTTTGCTGGTAATCATTTGGCTATTGGAAACCCTAACCCACCTTCAATTTATTCCGAAATGTATTTACCATACAATGGAGAATTAACGTAAGATTAGTGTTTCCTTTTTTTCAAAACTTCATATGTGCTATTTTTTAGATTTTTTGAGCGTATAAAAAGTACCGTCTATTTCTTATGGCATAGACTCTATGTGCATTTTATAGCTATGCCCCACAGTGATCAAATTGCTAGAAAATACCTTGGCCAAGATATTCCATATTTAGCAGACATAGAGAAAAATATATCTGCTCTAATGATAACTGTCAACCCAATAGTTTACGCTAATCGGCCAATGGTACCAACAGTGGTTCCTTTGAGTTTTTTGCACGTGGATAAACCGAAACCTTTGCCAAAAGACCTCAAAGACGAAATTGAAAGTGCCAAAAATGGGGTGGTTTATTTCAGCTTGGGTTCCATTGTAAAAAGTGCCGGTATTAATGAACGTGTTCGTCAAGTAATTATGGAAGCTTTGGCCGAGTTGCCTTACAAGGTTTTGTGGAAGTTTGAAAACGATACTATGCCTGGAAAACCAAAAAATGTTGTTACAAGGAAGTGGATGCCTCAACAAGATATTTTAGGTAGGTAATAATAAACGCTAGTATAATTTTGCTTAATTGATATTTTTTTTTTGTAGCTCATCCTAATGTTAAAGTATTCATGACCCAATTCGGTCTACAGTCTTTGGAAGAAGCCGTGGACAGAGAAATGCCTTTAGTGGGAATTCCTTTTATTTCTGACCAAGGAATGAACGGGAAAAGATTGGTAGAATGGGGAGTTGCAAAACAAATAGATTATAGAAACACCACTAAAGAGGAAATTGTGAAGGCGGTCATGGAAGTTGCTGAAAATCCAATGTAAGAATTTTATAAATTAATAATTGTAGAATCAATACTTGAGACTTGGCAAGATTGGAAACGGCATTTTTTTTAAAATATCTTATCAGTTTAAATAATGAACATGCAATATCTGTAGATAAAGTCAAATGCCACAAAGATTAGAAAGAATTATTAGTTTTGTGGGTAAAAATATTAGTTCAGTGAGCAGGCGGGGGGTTTTTTCCAGGAAAAAAATGAAGAAGTTTTTTTTTTTTTTTTTTTCTCACTGATTCTGTATGTTTTTTGGGGTGCTGAATCCAAATCTGAGGTTTGCCAACACGCCAGGCGTCGGCTTCACAAAGGAAATTGTGAAAAACCTTAAATTTTCGGCACTTTTTTCAGGTTTTCAATTAAAACTCGGAAACTGAGCTTTTTTTAATTATAACTATAATATACCAAATTGAAGTAGACAAAATTTTCTACAAGTAGTACTCAGGATTGCGTTCGTAGATATTCCGTTTAGATGGACCAGGCCGTATATGCTGAGCAACGTAAGATTTTCTTTTTACTCCTGTCCGGGCAGTGGACTTTTCTAATTTTTGAAGGATGGGTGACAGTCTTCCTACTGGAAAAAAAATATTTTCATGACATTTTGATTTGTGAAGCTATATAGTTTCTAATTTACAGTGATATATATATCTACTATATTAGGATAATAATTTCTTGTAATAGTATCAATTACCTTCGATCTTCTCAGGCGAAACGTCTTGATCGTCATCATCACTGAGTATTTCTATATTGGAGCAGCCTCCCCCACAATTCAAACAAAGTCTGGAACAGTGTAACCCCAATTTGTTTGCATCCGCAACTGCCCTTGCAGCCTTTCTGGCACTTACAGACAATGAGTTTTAGAGGAGTCGTGATGGGAATCAAGTTGCCTGTAATAATTTTCCATCCCCGCCGCCCAGTGGTTGAATATTTCCCAGCCACTGCTGTACTTGGTGAAATACTCTGTTACTGTGTTGCTGGGCTGCAGCTTCAGTAGGGGAAATGGATGCTACATTTCCGCTAACCTTGAATGCTGATGACACATACTGTTGGTCTCCGCCATACAAGGCTACTAGAAATTTTTCCCCTGTCACCGATTTTTTTTCTGATGTGGTAAGAGGGTTTCTGAAACGTTGGATGTTGACCGAGAGGTCAAAATACCTTGTAAGGGTTTCTATAAACTTGGCTTTCCCTTGCTTAAAAAGGGCAGATATGGAGTCACAACCACTGACAGCATACTTATATGAATAGTATGTGTTCTGCCAGGCATTTCTCGATGGCGCTTGGAGGATGGTAAACAGATGGAAGATTTTTGTTTTTGCCTGGATTCAAAAAATATACATTGGGAGATGTCATTATTGAAATTTATACCCTCTCCAACAACTACAATAGTTTCGTGCTCTACAGCAAGGGATTGGACTGTTTGCACAATCAGAGTGTCTGCATTTTCACTTGCCTGCTTTTTGTCAATTTGGGCTGCACTGAATTTTTGTAGAAGCATGCTAATGAATCTGCATCTGTTGTTGGTATTGGACAGAAATTTCTTCTGGGGGACTGTGAGCACCATTTTGTCAATGACAACTGACTACGTCTTGGATCTTCTAAATCGCTCCATTCGTTTAATTCCTTACTGTGCATCAGAGAAGTCGTCGAAGACTAATGCTGCAGTTGCAGTATAGATTTTTTTGAAATATTCAACGTAGCTGTCACAAACACACAACTTTGTGCAGGAGAAAACCAACGTGAACCACGTATCGTGGATAGTTGTCCAATATAGATTTCAGGTTCTGCTTGTAAAGCCTTGTTCAGTGACGATTTTGTCCATTTCCTCATTAGACCACCTTTTTTTTTCATCAAATATAGCAAGTGGAAAGGGGCTCAGTTGGTGTGTCAAGAACTCCTAGAGTCTGACTCTTTAACAATACTCATGCGTTGCAATCGGGTAGTTGAATTAACAACTACAGACTGATCATGAACCATTATTGAAAATTTCATGGTGGCAAGCAATAACACCGTATCGTTATGCTTAAATTTACCTGACTGAAAATGATTGCCAACAATTTGTCAATACATTTGATACCTTGTTCCCTAGACCTGTGGCAGTTTATTTTTTCATCACCCACTACTGGAACCACTTCATAATTTTCTTTGTATCTATTTTGTCTCGGGTTTGTGAACATTCTCGAGTATCTATATGTTGCTCTGATGATGCAAAATCAATTCCGCTGAATCCTTACATAGCATCGCAAATTTTTCTGTGCGTTATCATTCCCAAAGTCCATCTTGACAGAATAGCGTACCACGACCCCTAGTGAGCCCACCAGAAGATTTCATATGTTTCATGATCTCTTGCTCTATGCACATGTCACTCCATGTTCCACCACGAAACTTATGGCTTTGCCGAATAGTGAACCTGCCTTGCAAAGTGAAAGCTTTTAATTCATTAGGGGGCGTAGCTCCAACATATCCTCTGCATCTATGAAATTTAAGATTAGTGTAACTATTTGAAAGTATTGACTCCACAACTTGGCAGTGGGTTGGTTAAGCTTGTCTCCAAATTTCGAAGCAAGTTCCTAACACAATCCTTTTCATGTGCGTTCAGAATTATCGATCGGTCAGAATTGTACAATTTTGAATCGAAATGAGGCAGAAAAATCAATTGTTTCCAGTATTATTGATGTGAGCTAGCATGTGTGCTCTGACCGCCCTTGCATATGCGTGATCTGTCATCAATTTTTCGGTGCTAACAGCAGAAGGTTGAAAGGTTCCGATGATCCACTACCTTCCATTAGGAAACCCATAGCTTTAATTAATAAATGAAATCCACCCAGCGGTACAATCACATGTTGCAGTTCGGGGTCTCCCTGACGACTTGCAATTACCGCCTGTGCCTTCAAGTACAGTGGTTGATCGAATGTGACGGAAGTGGTTTGTTGGTTTAATGATTTTGATGTTTCAACACTACTCAGTAGAGCAGTGTAGACTGTGTTATAGTCACTTGGTGGTAGCGTAGAACAAATTGAAGAATGGTACACGCACTTGTCTGCACGGAGTTCTGACGTCGAAGCCAGCGGGCAAACTATTATTTCGATAATTTCCATTTCTTTTTGAATTAAATCTGATTTAGGTCCGGTACTGAATGACCCAACTGTTTGGCAACCGTGATGAACATTCCAATGTGCAACTTGCGGCGTAACACGTGCGTGTACCATTCTTGAGTTTCTCTTCTTCTAGCCTGTTTCCGTCCATTGCCTCTTCCATCGGTTCCTGTCTTGGGCCACCAGGATCCAGTTTTTTCCAACAATCCTCTGAATGTCATCACGCCACCTTGTTTGCGGTCTTCCATTGTTTCTTTTTGAATCTCGTGGCCTCCATTCCATGAGTATTTTGGTCTATTTGTTATCATCTCTGGCCACATGACCTGCCTAGCGCCACTTTAACCTTGTCGCCCGTACCACGGCATCGTCGACTTTTGTTCTCTGTCGAATGTCTTTATTTTGCAACCGATCTCTGAGGCTAATACCAAGCGTTGCTCTTTCCATGGGTCGTTGACAAACTCTCAACTTTGAGAGTATGATTTTCGATAGTTACGTCAACATTGTCTGTACTCATTGTTTTAGTTTTCATGAGAATTGAGGAAAATTTGAACAAAGTGCAGATAAATTACTATTTTTTCTATTCCCTTTATAGACAGCATTAATAGCCGTTTGCACGGGTTCCACTTAACACGTTTTGAGTGAAGCTTAACTTTAGGTGTCCCTTAACTAATTATTTTCCGTTGCACAGTAGTTGAACCGGCACTTAAGGCAGACTTAAATGAGGGCAAAATAAACCAAAGATTTCTTGGGCTTAAACTGACCCCTAACTAATTTTACGTTATGGTATGATTTTCTGGCGTTTGAGAGTTAAACAGAGATGCTATTTTCTTCCATGCATCATCTTTTTGACGCCAAGTTAAAGAGTCTGTTTTTTTGTTCTCAATTACCCCTTTAAATGCAAAAATAGTGTTCAATAACATTTCTTTTTCGCTAGGGGAAAAATTCGGAGCCTTTTTTTCACCTCACTGACTTCGTTTGTCGCCTCACTCATTTTTTTAACAACATAAAGAAGATCAATAGCCACAAAAATGATAAACGTCGATTCTCGGTTCTACTTAACCCAATGACATTGACGTAATTCCACGAACCTAACCTAGAAAAATCAAAACAAACAACAAAACCTTAACATTTTGACAAAAAAGTTACGATAACAACATGATATGTTCCAATATTTTGGAACCTTGCCGGTTTTACCTACCACTTAGGTAAACTTTGGACAAGGGGAACCCTTGCAAACGAAATAATCGTTAAGGGTACACCTCAGATTTTGGTTACACTTACATAGGAGTAAGTTTTGAGGGGAACCCGTGCAAACGGCCATAAATCATTCTTTCATTAGTATACCGGGTGGGGCACGAAAAACTTTCCACCCAGGTTTTCTCAGGTGTTAGGTGTTTAATCAAAAATCGCTCAGACACGTTAATTTTTGTTTTTTGGGGGACACATTTTATTGGTATTTCCACCCCCTACCTGTGGACCCCTAAGTGGGGGTAGCAGGTACCCCCAAAATTTCAAATGGAAAGAGGGGTCGAGTGATATGTCATTTGGTAGCTATTTTCATTGAGATTATATCCCCGAAGTTTTAAGTTGCTACTATTAACCCTGCCGAAATGGCGGCATGTCAAAGTTAGGATAAATGCTTTTTTTCGATAATCTAAGCTGTATAGTTTTTACCTGTCACACCTATGCGTAGGTAACAGGTAAAAACCACATAGCATTTTTCCATTGATTTTTCCTAACTTTGACAAGCCGCCATTTCGACAGGGTAAATAGTAGCAACTTGAAATTTTGGGGATATAATCTTAATGAAAATAGCTATCAAATGACGTATCACTCGACCCCCTTTTCATTTGAAATTTTGTTGGTACCTTCCACCCCCACTTAGGGGTTCACAGGTAGGGGGTGAAAATATCAATAAAATGTGTCCCCCAAAAAACAAAAATTGACGTGTCTGAGCGATTTTTGATTAAACACCTAACACCTGAGAAAGCGTGGGTGGAAAGTTTTTCGTGCCCCACCCGGTATGTCTTCCTACCTTTTTCGTGTAAGTACCTCAACTTATAACAGGGACATACCAGGTAATCATAAAAATAATTGATTTCAAATACGATTTACCAGAAATGTCAACATTTTCGACCAGTTGACAGGCCACAAAACTCAATATGCTGATATTTTGACTATTTCACTAGAGTGTTTTACACTGGCAAAATGTCATAGGAACGGCCGGTTTCCTACTGACAAAACTCCTACCTGGACAAAACCAACATGATGGTTCTTCAGCGACAAAATTTTGTGTGGTTAATGGTTAATGTAAAAAACTAGTGAGTTTGACAAGTGTCACCTAAAGAAAATAAATTTTCCAAATGAAAATTTGGCTTGTTTTTTCTCGTGAAATAGTCCAGCCAAATACCACTCAAGAAAAAATTATGTAGGCAAAATTATTCTCTTGGTTTTATTCAAGTTTGTTGCTTTTTGGTAATTTCGCGAATGACATTTTTGAAAAAACCACGAGCCGCCACTTTCATACCAGTCGAAAATTTTGCCAGCAAAATTTTTTCTCTTGTGGTATTATAGGTATATGATTATATTTCAATAGTTGCTATGGAATTAATGAATAACAGTAGAGGAATCACTTCCCCACCGGCGTCAAAAAATTCCATTTTTTTCAACACGATCTAACGACATTATAGATTGACGAGACTTTAGAGTAATTATACCTACTTGTAGGAAATTTTGTCTGCTTTAATTTGGTACATCATATTTATACTTAAAAAAACGCTCAGTTTTCGAGTTATAGTTAAAAACCTGAAAAAAGTGCTGAAATTTAGAGCTTTTCGCAATTTTCGTTGTAAAGCCGACGCCTGGCATGTTGACAAACCTCAGATTCGGATTCAGCACGCCAAAAAATATACAGAAGCGGTGAGAAAAAAACTTCTAAATTTTTTTCCTGAACCTTGGATGACTGAAGAACAAGGCAGCCTTTTCCTGTCTCATACATACACAAAACTTCACGACAATTTTTTTTTTTGTAGTTACCGTGAAAACATGAGAAAAGTGAAAAAAATTATGCAAGATGAACCGATGACAGGCACAGAAAGGATGATCTGGTGGAGCGAGTACGTCATCAGACACAAAGGGACCAAACACTTGAGAAGCCCCACCGTTGACATAGAATGGTACAAATATTTATTGTTAGATGTTTTTGCAGTTATTGTTGGTATTCCTGTATTAGTTCTATTAATTATTGTTAAATTGTTACTCAACACACTCAAAAAAACACCTATCAAAAAGACTAAAACTAAGAAAAATTAAACTGTGATATAATAATTCTAGAAATAAAAAACGGCCAGTATGTAACAAATTTTTCATTTATCAACAAATCCAGTTTAAAAATCGTCATTTTCAAATGGATGGTTTGGATGTCCGGCTCCCCTAATAAACAAACAATTCAATAAAATAATATTCCACAAAATCACACAAAAATTCTTACTCTGAATGTTGGCAAACTCGTCCATTGCAATCAAAACTATCCAAAACGGCAACATCGGCAGCTTCAAGTGCGAAATCGAAAATATCAAGATTTTCCGCAATCCTGGATTTGGTGACCGATTTTGGAATTGGAACGACACCCAGTTGATGTAAATACCTAAGAATCACTTGCGCAGGGCTCTTTTTGTACTTTTCAGTTAAAGCCAAAATTTTAGGTTCTTTAACTAGGATCGGGTCATCTGGTTTAGCCCATGGCCTGTCAGGTGATCCCAATGGACTGTAGGCAGTGATAACAATGTCCTTTGATTTACAGTAAGCTGTTAATTTCTTTTGGTTGAGGTAAGGATGGCATTCAACCTGGTTCGTCACAGGTTTAACGGTACCATTAGCTAAAATCCTTTCTAATTGTCTTTTATTAAAGTTTGACACCCCAATAGATTTAGTAAGGCCTTTCCTGTGAATTTCTTCAAAAGCCTTCCATGTGTCCACATAATCAATGTCACCGTAAAGGGTTTTGCCGTCAGGGCCTTTTGGAGTATATACTTCACCTTGCTATTAATATTGATCACAATTTTTAAATTATCTTATCTTTGAAAAGTGTTTTGCTTACTTTGAAGGCTGTAGGCCAATGAATAAGATACAAATCCAAATAATCCAAACCCAAATATCCTAAACTCCTTTTGATGGTGGGTTCAACCAAATCGGGCCTCATCAGGTTACACCACAGTTTACTGGTGACGAAAAGGTCTTCCCTTTTGACAACACCTTCGTCGATTTTGGCTTTAATTCCAGCACCGACTTCTTCCTCGTTCAAATAGTACAAGGCGCAATCGAGATGACGATATCCAGCATCAATGGCATCTTTAACTGCTTGAGTAACTTCGCCTGGTTTTGACTTTAAAAAAAATATGTTTGATTATTATTTTTAAAAAATAATACGTTTTGTTACCTTCCATGTTCCTAGTCCTAAAGCAGGCATAAGTTTTCCGTTGTTCAAAATCACGTTTGGTACTTTTGGCGGCATTTTTAGTTGATGTTGGCGCTAGGAATCGAGCTAAGCGACTGTGTAAGCGGCATGTGGGATATTATTTTTAGAAAACAACAAGGTCAATGGTAATAATTTTGTTTAATTATGAGTGGATTAGGTGAGGGAGATGTTTGATAAGGAAGATAACTAGTGTTATGTCATTAAATATTTGTTGAGAGGAATTGAATTAGAATTAAAAGTGAGTGAAGCAACTGAATGTAGGACGTGGTGTTTTTTTTTTTTGAAAACACAAATAAGGTCAATGGTAATATAGAATTTTGATAAGCATGCACTATGAGATGTTTGATCAGTAATCAGGCAAAAAACTACTTACTATGCTTTATTATTTGCTTTATTATTCCATGCCTTCATGGTGTGCAAATAATGCTACAAAAGATCCCTGCTGGATCTCATATTTTCGTAATTGAACTTTCTCTATACCTGTGATCAAAACCAGTGACCTTCCGCTGTATAGGCTGGTTGATATAATTTACATCCACCTTTGGAGCTTAGTTTCTTATACGGAAGTAGACAAGATGTTTAAAGTAATAATGACTCTAACGGAGCGGTCGCTAATTTGTACGAAGTTATAGAGCAAGGAACTAAGTAGTATGTTCCCAAAAAAACCATCAGGGTCGACAGATATCCCATTTGGCTCAACTCTGAGCTAAGAAAGTTATTTGCACATAAAAAATCGACTCTATGAGAAGTACAGAAGATCAAGACGGCAAACGGACTATGAAGCTTACTCTGCACTCCCACAAGGATGTTGAGATCAAAGAAGACTACTCAGTCCCTTTTGGAACGTAGGTACCTCTCCGATCATCTCTTCACAGTCGAGAAAATACAGAGAAAAATTCTGGATTTCGACGCCGCAAAGAGTGCTGGTAGGAGAAAGTAACTTAGAACAATTTTTTCCATTTGTAATTACGTATAGCATCATACCTAAAACAATAGTGTTGCGGTTTTGACCGCCACAGCCATCTGCAAATAACCTCACTACTTTGATCCTTGTCCAGCTCATTTACTGTCCCTTGTTTTTAATCTGGCACTTTCTGTATGGAGCGAGGGGGTGAAGATGGGGTGAAGTATATGGCCAAAACAGGTGTGACGTCAGGTGACCATTGGCGTTATAATGTAGGGTGCCACCAGCTCACATTCCTTTCCAGTATCAGATTAAAATCGACGTACTTTAGATATCTTGCTACACATGTTGATATTTCGCTAACCCCTCGCTTGGAAGCTGTATGACCTGTTGTATGTCAAATACAGCGCTAGGATTTACTTTGATGTTTCCTTGGCTTCTTCCTTTTTCCTGCGAACAGAAATCTTTCCAGCAGTATGGTTATTATAAGCATCCTCGAGTTCCAGCTTTCTTTTCTAATCAGCTTGCCTGTATGGCAAGCGCAAAGTACCTACATTGATCCTTCTTAAGATGATGGAAGGAAAGATTCAAAGATTTAAAAATCCGTCGATATGTATGATAACTACAATGTAGTTGGTTAATATTATCGTTTTGGTGAATATAGTACATTTTCTTCACAGTCAAATCAGGGTGTAAGTACTCTTGTGAAGAAGACTACAAAAATGTGACTCCATTCTAGGAAATTTCTGAATGTGTTCTAATGCTGAAGCTCTCATTTTTGCATCGTTTGTTCAACATTTCATGTCGCCCTCCTCGTCTGTCGGGCTCTACTATCTCTTCTTCTGTTCTCTTAGATAAAGCCGTGAGCATTGTCTTTTCTGAAATTCCCAACGTGTTTAAAAACATTGTTTTACAAACTACGGACATTCCGTCACTTCTAGGGAGGTGGTATTCAAATGTCTCCGAACTACGTGAAACTTCTTTGTCTGTCCTTTTCCGCTTGATAGCTTTGAACTGTACGTGTCGTACAATAAACTCCCTTTGTTGCTGTAAGCCCTTTATACCATAAACAGCGTTAAATATTTTCTGCCTTTGCACATCACTAATGCTGCACACTTTACTCTTGCATTTTTCACTACCACAACGACGTTTCATTCCTTTAGCCAATACAGCCTTTCCAGAGGTGCTACTGACATAAGCTTCTCCCGCTATTATCTTATCTTGTGCGATCATTCTTTTATTGCCTTTTCTCACTTTATCAAAGAGTACTTTCCTCTATTTTCCATTCACAGCATACCTTCTGGGAATCTCTAAGTTACCTTTCATACCTTTGGAGGGTAAAATTGACATTTTCCTCATTTTCGGAAGAAACGTTGTCAACAAGTTCAGTACAGGTTTCGTTGTTGATAAAATTTTCCCAACAAAGCAACTCAGAACCCACAGCTCGCTCTGTAGGTGGGATCGTGATGGCTGTTAGTAGATTTATATTGCTCAGATTCTCTTTCAATACAATTTTCTGAAAACTTTGTGCAAACTGAAGAAGTTGTTTTAGAGTTCTGCCTTACAACACTCAGTGGAACAGTTTGGAGACATTTACTGCCAGTCTCGCTAATTGATGCTAATTGGAAAAGCTCTTTAGATGGTTTGTTTTAAAATACTGAGAAGCAAATTGTCATCTTCGTCACTTTCTATTTCGCTTTTGGTTTGTATCACCGTCCCAAAGTAATATTTGTCTTCTTGACGCCCGTACATTACTAACACCACTATAAATACCACTGTTTTCTCTACAGTCTCGAGTTCATAGTAGACAGTATTTTATTTTATTTTACAGTAATTGATATTATACAGGGTGTCCCAAAAAGATACCGACAAACTTTAAGGGGTAGTAAGGGACATCAAAACAAGCATTTTTGTTTATATAAACATAGGTCCGCAAATGAGCCATTTGGGCTGTAGAACAAAAAAACTGTTTGATACTTTTATTCTTCGCAATAATTAAGTCACTGTTTACTTATTAATTTTGCTTTAGTAACAAATAAATTATGGTTCACAATAATTTTTCAAAATATTGATCATTTACTTCAATACAAAGACTGCACTGTCGGTCGGATCATTAACTCGCGAACCCTTTGGAATATTCCGGGAATAGCTTCTACATAGGTACAACTCGCCAGTATCCTTGCTAACAGATCTTCCTCATTACGAACAGGTGTTTCGTAGACTGAACTTTTTAGAGAACCCCAAAGAAAAAAATCTAGAGGGTTGAGATCAGGAGAACGCGCGGGCCAGGCCACGGGACCTCCTCTTCCAATCCAGCGTTGGGGAAATCTCTGATCTAAATACCGACACACGTTCACACCGAAATGTGGAGGTGCCCCTCGTCATGCTGAAACCACATGCTATTTGTAAGGTTTAAGTGGATATTTTCCAAGAAGAGAGGCACACTATTTTCCAAAAAATGGAGATAAATATGGCCAACTAAATAAAAAACCGAGTAAAAAATGTCTTCAATTATTTGGGTATGATTTAAATAGTTTTTTTGCTCTACTGCCCAAACGGCTCATTTGCGGATACATGTTTATATAAACAAAAATGCTTGTTTTGATGTCTCTTACTACCCCTTAAAGTTTGTCGGTATCTTTTTGGGACACCCTGTATATTTATATTTTTTACATTCACATTATGACATGAACACATGTTATTTTTAATTTTTGACAATACGTCAATATTGCTAAATAACTAATTATTCTTTCACTAGAGATGGAATAAAGCTATTCCATAATCAAATACGTCGGAATGGACAAATTATCTAATAGTCGTAGAAACAAATGTTTTTCAACCGTTTTTCTTTCGCTGATATGCAAGAATCCGGTAATTTTTAACATTGGGGCGTATCACACGATACTGCTTACAAAAGATCTAGCGGATAGGTGTTAGTCCATGTTTTGGATTTACGCCTCTTTGTTAGATTTCGTTTTTAAATTGATGACGCTTACGCCCATTGAAAATGTGACTTTATTATTAACCTAGAAGGAATGGATGTACGCCTGTGTACCAGATCATAGATAACCGACTGGGATACTTTTGGTGCTCTCAACATACATTTTGAAATTGTGGCGCTTACGTCACTTTGCCAGATCAGCGACATCAAATTATATGATACGAAGTCTTCTTCTTCTTCTTCTTCTTTAATAATGGCACTGCTCCTTTACGGGCAACTTGCCAGCTCATTCGTGGCAGGGTGACTTTGTCTGGCTCTCAGCCATATCAAACCCCGCGAATTGTTTGTAGAGTTCTGCTGTGGAGTAAGAGAACCGCCACCGGGGTTGGTTACCCGATCTTGGTTGATATGAGTATTGAATTGCTGTGTATTACTAATTTTAAGGGGTGAGGTGTTAACAAACAATACAACATAGGATACATACAATTGACACGGACAGCACAATCGATATTGGCTTGCTGAAAAAAGAAAGAAGACACTAGTTTCATAACTTTATTTTATTGTAGACAAGGAATTTCATAAGTAATCTGATTCTTGTTTCTGAGAGTTTTGATAAAATAAGAGACATATTTAAAGGAGGTTGAAGACCCGTTAAAACTATCTGCTGATAAATATCAAAATTGGGAATGAAATTGATTGGACACTCTAGGAAAATATGATCCAACGACTCTTCTCGACCGCATTCACAGTTCGGCTCCTCTTTGATGTTAATTTTATAAATACGAAGTCCATTATCAGTCTATATTACAGTCTGATTAGATCAACACTTGAACACTGCACAGCCCAATTTGGACTCCAAATCACGTATGCCGCATATCCATCTTGAGAATCGACGCAAAAATGACCAGCTCATTTTTCTCTACAACATTCTCCAGAACATTATCAATTTCTGGTTCCTGGAAGAAGAACCCGACAGAGGCAGCTCTTTCTCCAACGTACGCATAGAAAACTATGGTCTGAATTGCAGCATCACTCGTCTATAAATGTCATAAAAAGAAAAATCAGTACATAGTTACAGGGGCTGTATTCTTGAATTTATATTTTTGTTTTGCTTATCATTATTTAGGTTTATTTCTTCAGTGTACCAATTAGAAATTTGTTCTGTAGAGAGTGCACTGAAATGCGAATAAATAAACAATTCTTGTTACTATTGGGGTTGGAACAGATATTCCATTCTGTTCTATCCCATATTTGATTGATTGATCAGCGAGATTGATCCCCATCATTCCCAGGATCCTAGAGATTTTTATATAATCTCGTTCCAAATATCGGCGGTCTGATAGGGTTCACTTCAAAAGTTCCATATTTTGGCTAATTTGTCAAAAACGAGTGGACTTAGATATGAAGTGTGTTAATATCATTGTAATCGGAATAAGATATTCTAGTAAAAACATAATATACAAGGTGTTCCATTTAAAAAAATATAATGTAGACGTATATGTTAGAAAATTGATAGTTGCGGAAATAACCCACAACAGGTTTAATTTTTATTATTTCTAATTTAATATATCTCAATTTCTATTATTTACCGTAAAAATAATATTCTGAAAATAGATGCTATTGCTGGACTATTTATCCTGTAAAACCGGCAACAACAACTCTTTGAACCAATAAAATTACAGGTTTCTTCATTACCTTATAAGGCAGTGGACCTTTCTCGCTGCTGTGATTGGTCAGCCGCCACATTGTTTTCTAGATTTTTGCGACCTGCTCCCCTGGCAGAGTCTAGTCAACGCACATTCTTCAGTACTATTAGAATAAGCGAAGACTTCGCACCCTCGCGCCCTCTGAATGCTCTCCAGAGGAGAAACCCCAAAAAACCCCCGTTAGTACGCGCGATTTATAGTAAAATACTACTCTCTGTGTCTCAAGGCCTGACATGGTCTATATTATTGATTAAAATTCACGCAATTAACCCCTAATTGTTGCAAATCACTTCGGACGAGCAAAATTCTCTCCTACGCGATTGTATTTTGGCTCTCTCTCACTCTCGACGGGCTCAAACACATCTGTATATCGTTGTTTTCTTTTCATCTCAGTGGAAAATTCCCTAGCTGCCAGTGTGAATAGTGGTGATAAATGGATAAATAATCGCCTTGTGGATTTATCTGAATGAACCGGATTAAGCAAGTAAGACCGTTACAGTCTCTCTAACAGTCGAACAATAAATACTGATTAGTGATTCGCTTGAAATCTATATATATAAAAATCAAAGTTCACGGGGTATCCGGATATGCGCTCTAAAACCACTTATCCGATTACGATGAAACTTTGGTAGGTTATTATGGCCATCCCAAGGAAGGTTTGTGGATAGGTTACGCATCTCGGAAAAAGAAATTAATTTTGAATTAATTATTAATTTAATTGTAAACAAACTCATTCACATTACATAACAACATAACCCAACTTTTTTTGACAGCATGAAATAACGTTGACATATTTCATTTATTTAGGCTTGCATTCAACCGACGTAACTATATTATTTTTTGAATTCGAGAACGGCTGGACCGATCTTAAATTAATACCACGTATCTCTATATAAGGTTGGGTTCAATTTAAGTGAACTTCTGATCTAGATCATTTTTTTGTTGATGAGGGTGCACTCATCCAGCTTGAATCGAACACAGTGTGGTTCATTTAAATTGAACCAGATCGATCTAATCCGGTCAATCGAATCGGCTATAGAGGAGAGTGATATAGGCTATTTTTTATCCCGAAAAAAAAAGTTCGGTTGCGTAAAACTCTGATACACTGGAACGTCTATAAACAGCCCGGGGCGCTCTAGAGCAGCTCTGGAGTGCTTAAAATGCGTCACTGAACTCACTGGCAAGCGACTCTGATATCGGATTAAAAAAAAAAAAATTAAATAGAAAATCAACAACAAAATTTGAAAAGAAGTGTATTATTTCAAAATGTATTTACACGCTGGCAACGCAGCGGGTCATTAGCTGGTGCACTATAAATTGAAGTGTTTTCTAATATTTAATGCAGAAATTTGGTTTTCACAGTAGTCAGAAACAGGAAAATACCAGTGGCGTACACTCGATCGACCTACGAATAGAGAACCATACAAAAATATACAAAACTGTACGATTATTCAAAAACTGTACATAGGAAATTGTATGATTATTCAAAAACTGTACATAGGATTGAATTCATACTAACATGGTAAAGTTGAGGGGGTAGTCAGAAACAGGAAAATACCAGTGGCATACACTCGATCGACCTACGAATGGAGAACCATACGAAAATATACAACACTGTAGAGTTAAAGTTAGTTAGAGTTGCACATGCATGGACTAAGGCTTCAAAATCAAAAAATGTCACAGGCCTTTTAATAGAAAAATGGGAGAAGAGCCGAAAAATGGTTTAATATCTAGAAATGTTAGTGAAACACGGATTTGCAAAAAAATCCTCGAAAATTGAATACGTAGGTACTTTAGGCATCTTTTCACCAGCCTTAAATTTATAAAATAATGGCTTAGGATTCAGAATCTCAAGATTTTAACTTTTTTAAGTATTTTCCATAGTCTAATTTCGGAAAGATGGTATCTCCTTATTAACCTCAGTTCACTGGTATTTATTTGGTTTTTACTCGACTTAATGTTTAATATGGCAGGTGCATTTTCATGTAAATTCCTAACTAAAGACATCTATTCTATCCAGTCCCCACTTGCATCATTTATAGATGTGTTCAGGATTGCCAATTTATATGGAATCAGTTGCCTCATTATATTCAACAATCTCTTATCAATTAAGTAAATATATCTTACGTAATCCAAACTATTTCAAATTTTAACAAATTAAAAATAAACTTGAACAATAGATAAGATATTATCATTATATTGGGTAAATAAATCAATGTGATTGAAAACACTTATTAGGATGATCAAATACAATACGAAAACCTAAAATAATAATACTTGAACATATAAGTAGCAGTAGTATAAGAAGTAGATGAAGCTGGAAATATTTAAAAAAAAAAACATTGCGTGTCATGAATGATTGATTATAAGCGGCAAGAAAATGTTTGGCCTTCAAAGAAAATAAAAATGGGACGTGCGCATCAGCTGGACCATCCAACAAAATTGTTTAATCTATTATAGTCCAGGAGACAGTGACGATTTTCGGTAGGTAGGTAGGTACTTACTTTCCCAGTCAGCAAACATGAATAGAATTGTATAAGGGTTAGTAAAATTCACATAGGTACAGGGTTTCCAGAATAACTCGAAGTACATATACATAGGGCATTTTTTTTTTTTTGGCCATGTATATCCGTTGCTATTCCGAGTTCAAAGAAGTTGATAGATTATTTGAAGGCACTTGATTGCGCAGCTTTTTCCCTATTTGGTCCGCCCTTTATCTTCAATGGTGTCCAAAATCCCCATGTAATTCAAGTTATTCCGGACACCTTGTATATTGAGAGAGGATTTCCCGATGGGTTGAGGCGGAAAATGAGTCAGAACATACGAAAATACGGCATTTTTTTCCAGTGATAAAAAGAGTTCTAATCGTAAGAGGTGTACTGGAGTTACGTAGAAAAATAATCTGGCTAATCTGCGAGTATGGATAATACGTCTGGCAAGTCGTGCAAATGTATCAGATGATGGCTTATATCATAATAACAGCTTAAAATACAATCTGGCGAATTTGGAACACTCCGAAAGCCTTGCCAGACTCGTCTCATGATCGTCATCAGCTAAATCCTATCGGAAACCCTAATCCACCTTCAATTTATTCAGAAATGTATTTGGCATACAATGGAGAATTAACGTACCCAACATAATTTTTTTCCTAATTTTATTTGTCTATGTTACTCTATTTTTTAGGTTTTTTGAGCGCATAAAAAGTACTCTCTATTTCTTATGGCATAGACTCTATGTGCATTTTGTAGCTATGCCTCATAGTGACAAAATTGCTAGAAAATACCTTGGCCAAGATATTCCATATTTAGCAGACATAGAGTAAAATGTATCTGCTTTATTTTTAACGATTAACCCAAATAGTTTACACTAATCGGCCAATGGTACCAACAGTGATTCCTTTGAGTTTTTTGCAAGTGGAACCAGTAAAACCTCTACCAAAAGATCTCGAAGACGAAATTGAAAGTGCCAAAAATGGGGTGGTATATTTCAGTTTAGGTACCATTGTAGAAAGTCAGTATTGATGAAACTATTCGTCAAATGATTATTGAAGCTTTGGCCGAGTTGCCTTACAAGGTTTTGTGGAAGTTTGAAAATGATATTCTCACTGGAAAACCAAAAAATGTGATTAAAAGAAAGTGGATGCCTCAACAAGATATTTTAGGTAATAATAAACACTTGTTCTACTTTTGACTAAATAATATTTTTGTTTTGTAGCTCATCCTAATGTTAAAGTATTCATCACCCAATTCGGACTACAGTCTATTGAGGAAGCTGTAGACAGGGAAATGCCTTTGGTGGGAATTCCTTTTATTTCTGACCAAGAAATGAATGGGAAAAGATTGGTAGAATGGGGAGTTGCCAATCAAATAGACTATAGAAACACAACTAGAGACGAAATAGTGAAGGCGATCATAGAAGTTGCTGAAAATCCAATGTAAGAATCTCAGAAATTGTTTCATTTTATTAATTTCATGAGAAAAACCTTAAATTGGGGAGATTCAGAAAGATAAAACTCAGATGATACAACAGCAATACTTGGTAGATAATGAATGGAAGTCAAATGCCAGGAAAATCAGACCTAATTTAAGTTTTTGTAGTAATCTTTTCAGGAAAAGGCAGTCATTTTTCTGTCTCACATACAAATCTCTAAGACAAATTACTTTTTTTGTAGTTACCGTCAAAACATGAGAAAAGTGAAACAAATAATGAAAGACGAACCAATGACGGGGACAGAAAGGATGATATGGTGGAGCGAGTATGTCATCAGACATAAAGGGACCAACCACTTGAAAAGCCCCACCGTTGACATAGAATGGTACAAATATTTATTGTTAGATGTTTTTGCGGTGATTGTTGGTATCCCTTTATTAATCCTAATAATTATTGTTAAATTATTACTAAACACACTTAAAAGTAGACACAGTAAGCGTAAAATTAAGAAAAATTAAACTGTGATAAGATTTTAGGAATTAAAACAATTACAACAAACATGTCATTGTTTCATTCATTCGCAAATACGAAAAATCGTCAGTCAACTTTTCTCCAATTTTCCAAATAAAAAAACCATAAGCATCTTTAAAAAAAACTTTATTCATTATTTTATAAATGATAATGTTCTACTTAAATATTTCGTAGATAGGTACCTTAACTGCGATGATTAAATAGAAATTACAGTCCTAAAACCTAAACTAATAATACTCAATCGATTATAAAACAGTAAATAAATAAATAAAAAAAAAGGAATAATAATAAATACACAATTATAATATTATATTGCAACAATTAATTTGTACCTACAACTAACTAATCAAAATTATATATTTTCTGATTCATAAAATTACATATTTTGTTCTTGTTTGTAGACATCGTGATAAGCATTACGAATAAGCGCATAAGGAAAACATGATTCTAACAAATCCATAGTAAGGAACGGTGATTCTTGCACTATTTGATCTAAAAGCAAGTAAACCGATTCGCGATTTTTAACAGTTTCCTTATCGGCTTCCTGTCCAAGTCTTAGCAAACTTGAAGAAGCCAAAGCCAAAAACTCCTTCATCCTGTCTTCAATATCATCCCTGGCGCAAATAGTAAATAAAGCTCCAAAGATATGATTAACCGCCAAAGCCATACAATGAATATTATTCGTATGACCTTCCAGAGAAGCTCTATAAAACGACTGATCCGAACGAGCCAATTTTGGTATGGAAACAGCTACAAACACCATCAATAAACAAACTAAAAGATGCTCATTTTCACCTTCGTTTTCAGTTTTTTGCAACTTCAAAGCAGCTATTAAAGTAGGATCAACCTTACAACACAAACCTGCAGCAGAAGTCATTTCACTCACCACTTTCATTGGATCTCCGGATGGCAAATGATGACGAAAATCTAAAATAGAACTTAACAAAAACGGAATGCGTTGCTCTAAAACATCAGTCAAACAAGATTGAGACAATTGTCTGAAACTCAATATAACTCCAACAATAGTCATTCGTTGTAAAACATTATCAACATTTGCCAGTCTTTTAAATTGCTCCTTCATAACTTCAGGTTTATCGAAATTTGTTCTCAACAGCAACAAAACATCCTTATTACTATCAGCTAGTTTTTTCAATTCGATAACTTGACTTGCAATATGCCACATTAAAGTTTCGCTTAATTGCTTCATGCCATAAGGCCCAATAAGCTCTGCTAAAGCTTTAAGCTCGTTAACATCAGAGTATTCTTCAGGGTTGAATGGAATTGTACCTTCAAGTGTGAGACTTACAAATGAACGTTGATTCATCGAAAAAATTATATTTCCTGCGCTGACTCTACGCAATAGAACTTCTGAATACCATTGAGTATAAATCGAGGCGATGGTTTTTTCGCCATGGCTATCCATGGCTTGAGTTTGCTGCAACAAGCAATTATTAAAGACTCTCGTTATGTCTATGTGAACGTAATTTTCTACTGTTTGTAATACGTTCATGTAAGACCTCACACAAACAAGTAATTCTGATGGTTTGGCGATTTCGTGTGTGTCCGAGTTGTACATAACCATGCCAACTAACGCTTTGGCAAAACGATTTTCTAAATGCTGATGCAAATATTCACGTGGGGCAAAAGTATATTCCCAAACGTTTATATTTGAAAAGTAATTTATTGCATAACAAAGCTCAGTTAAGGCCATATGCAACTTATCCATGGTTGTTAAATTTTCACGAGTTTTCCTGTAACTTTCTATGCCAGGTTTTTCAAATTCGATAGCATTTTTTTTGTTTTTCTCTTTCTTTTTTCTATTAATTTGCTGCGATATTAAATGAGCGCAATTTTTTGGTAATAATTTATCGCTCATTTTACATTGAGCATCGCAAATGGCTGTGATAATATTTTTCGCTTCTTTGGCCATTTCATCTAGAAACATGTTGACAACTGATAAGCTGCGTTCTCTTATGTGATGTCTTTCTTCTGGGCAAAGTTCGTGAGTGCAATGCTGGAAATGGCTACAAATCGAAGGAAATGCTACAATGTAACGATTTTGCGCAGGAAATTCTAAGCACATGTGAAATTGGTCTTCGAAAATTCGACTGTAGAAACAAAATATTGACAAATCAGATGTTTCTCTAAGCATTTCATCTAAATTATCAACCATTTTCGTATGGAATTGAATCATGTCCATCAATTGGCCTAATTGCTTGAATTCCATAAGCCTCAACTTAGACTGTTGCGTGGATGTGTAGGCTTGCAACCTAAACCAATCCAATCTGAACGCGAAAAAGTTAAACGTTTCGTTTTCCTCCACTTGCTTGACTGACAAACTGGAAATGGTATTGCACAAGGACGACAAAATGATAGCTTCATCTTCGGGACAAGTTTGCAATTTTTGCATTTGCTCTTTGAGAGAAATGGCGTCCCAGTGCGAGAGATATTGGACATAGTATCGTTGCATTACTTGGCTGTATTTTCTTACGAGGACTCGAAGATCTTCCATGTGGAAGAGGAGCTCTGGCAGGTGGCGATCGACGAGGTCTTCTGTGGATTTTCCTGAGAGTAAAGAAATAATGTTTATGGATTGTTGATACATTATAGTATAATATAGGTTTGTGTTTTGGTGATTTTTCTATAACAGTTATGTTAAGTTGTTTGTGACGTTAATTATTGATGTTCTCTATAAACGAATTTGTCTACAGTGGTTATAAAATTGAAACCAACGCAAGGAATATTATTTCGAAAAAAAAAACCTACTACTGACAGAAAATTAATTTGGTAAGTTTTATTATACATCAAATACATAATACAAACTCGAATATGAAGGAATTATAATTGTTGAAAATCAACATGATACCTATATTACAAAACTAGCTAATCATTACCTATTATAACTATTTTGTCTCATAATCTGATGCTCGGTCTCATATTTCAAAAAAAAAAATGCATAATGCGTCAGCTTTTTCCAGATGAAATGGATTGTTACCTAATAACTCGATAGGACCATGAAATATACATACTTTATCTACTTCAGTAATGTCGTCAGCCTTAGACCAAGTAAATTTATCTAGCTCAGATTTTAAAAATTTAACTGTATTCCAATACATTGATGTTCATAGGCGAAAGCGCAATATTTCTCCATTCTGATTTCTAAGATGATTCCATTTGAAGTATATTGAGTTTGGAAATTCGCCATCTGAAAAATTGTCAACTAAATGCTTCATTTGTATTTCATCTTCAGATGTAGATATAGAGCTCAATGCAAATTCTACAAAGTTATCAATTTTCTTTTACTTTAACTCCCTAATTCCTTTTTTAGGATTTCTTCTAAGTCTAGATTTTTTAGTGTGGCTAGCTGGACTGCATTTAGGCAGAGTTCTGTTGCTGGAATAAAATCTTTGGAGTCTGTCTGTACTTAATCTAAATGAGGACTCATCCAGAAGCCAACAAAACGAGGGCTTTTAGTTATGACCTAATTTTCCTTGAGCTTTACCCTAACATAAGGAGATTTTTCTGTAATATCACCTCCGGTAATTTTATTGGAGAAATCTTTCAACTCCAATGAGTCTGTTTCCTCTTCAGGTGGAATAATGTTTCATTTCGTGTTTTCTTGAGCCATAGTGTAATCAGTAAAGCCTACAAGTTCGCCTGTTTCAAATTTTGTTAAAATCGACATTTATAATATACCTTGGTCTATGATAACTGGCAAATTAATGCATTTTTATCAGCGGTAATTCCAAATATGACAGAATCGGGAACGTCATTTGGAGCTGCATTTACAAATTATTTTAATTTTATGGACAAAATTTGTTCTGAGGTTACGATAGCAGATTGCTGAAGCAGCTGAAAACAGAACTCTTCATGTATGTCAGACACAATCTCATTTATTGTTCGAATTCTATCTAGCCGTTTCATAAAACTTTTGATGCTGAAATTGACAACTGTGGAGAACGATGAAGTCATAGATCTGGCCATTCTGAACAATTTTTCGCATATGGAGTTCATGGGCAGATTGTTCGGGAGCATTGACAATAACTTGTTTTGTCTGTTATAAGTTTCGCTACGGAACAAAAAATCATTCCAAAACATTCTGTAAGTGTTTTTTTTTTGTCATATCCGAGGTCATAATCACAACTTAATCGTGGCGAGGACGCGCATATTCATTGGAATTTTGAAGGAATACATATGAATACTATTATAAGAATACATAAGGCATGCAGAAGAATACATTGGAATACATGAGAAAATGAGAATACATGGGACATGAGGCTTGTCCACTGGAATATATTGGTGGTTTACCACCTCCAAAAACAAAAAACAAAAAAACAGGTGGGTAATTATTTAATTTTTAATACTTAACTCAAGTCAAGCTGATGAAAACCTGGCACACATGAATTATGTAATTATTATTGTATGTGTTATTGGATTGAATTGTTTATGAAAATAGTGCCAAAATCCAAAATAAACAAGTTTATACATTCAATAATTGAAGGGGGTGAATTGAATCAAATCAGCCATAATAGTAAAGAAATAGGAATTACAGGATTAAGTAAATTGAAACCTCCATTAAAATTATAAAAATAATCTCAAATCCAGACTTAAATAAATTAGTCCATTTAATCTAAAAGAAGTGAAACCAAGATTTTTCTGGTATGTTATAAAATATCTACTCCAAATTCCTTGTTTTTTTATTAAAATTTCCAAAGAACGCTCACAGCAATTTTGACCCATAGAATTACAAGCTTATTTTGAAAATAAGATATTTATTGTTGTAAAATAGGTAACTACTCCTAGGGATTTTGCGATCAGATACCTAACTAATTAGGTATGCCTCTAAATTAATTGGGGTTTTGAATGGACCATACGTTATTTAAAAGCGATAGTATCAGCCCCTAAAATACCAAGGGACACCAGAAGAGAAGTAGCAATTGCCAATATTTTATAAAGATGAAGATAGGACGAAACAAACACTGGCTGAACATTTCCAGTAACAATTTTGGAATGTTTTTGTAAAGGGAAAGGAAATAATCAACAGACTAACATCAACACGTCCTGAAATCCCTGAAACGGAGAGGCTATAAAATCTCTTGAAGTGGATTCCTTATGAGTTCTGGGTCGGTCATACACTTAAATTTCAATGATTCAGATTCATCCTTACAAAAACAGTTTAGACAAAATGCTTCAAATCGCACCTATATGATAAGAAATCACATTATATTGAGAATCATCACCTGATTCAAGCCTTTTTTAAATCTACAACAGACATGAAATCTTGAAAATTGGAATTACATCTAACTTCAATTAAAAAAAAAAACCTAAGAAATTCCCGTTAGTTTGAAGTCTGATAAGACATAAGTACCTATCAAATTTTTGCCACAAAAGACATGTCTACCTACATAGAACATTGTTCATTCATATGCTGTTTGATCTGTTTGTTGAGCATCTGTATGTTCAGTCTTATGTTTTTATTAAAAGTCTTGATAATATTCTGGTACTTCCTTGGGTATTCCCGAGGGTATTCCTCACAATTTAAATGTGTTTTCACCAGTAGGTATAATCGTTTTGGTATAATTGCTTACTTAGATACCTAGGCCCGGATTTCGAACCCACGATTCGATAGTATCGTCCATATAGAATAGATAGACGATACTATTGAATCGTGGGTTCAGAATCCAAGCCCTGATTCCTGTACAGGGCATTTGTGGGCAGGTTACTATTTAAGCAAAATGCAGATTTTACATAATAAATTAGCTTTATTCTCGGCTTCATTATACTGTTGACCTATACAGGGTGACGGTGACACAAGGTCCAAGGAATAGGGCACAACCTAATAACGGGTGTCTCATTTGAAAATCAAAAGATATGGCCTCTTCCAGTTAAACCAGAACTGATTGGTAAGGCAATTTGGTTTCAAAAAACTGGAAAAGTTACCTTATTTAAGCTCCCCAAATTTCCATTCAAAAAGTTATGCATGAGGTTGAGCCCTATTCCTTGTGTCACCCTGTATAAGGGTTTGAGTTTCTTGATGCTAAATAAGTTATTTCAGCTTGATGAATATTTACGAGAATATGTATATTAGACGAGATATACCTAAGGTTACAAAAAATATGTAGAAATGTAACACCAACATTACCTTTATTGAAAATAGGCATGAACACTATATCACTGGGTGATGTACAGGGTGTCCGAATTTGGATGGTTTTAATAGGCAACGTCAATTTCTGAGCAAGATACAAAAAAATGAACCCCCCACTCCGAGGCCCAAATTTCTTGAAATTTTGATTGGTGCAAACCGCATTTTGATATCTTCAACCGTTTAGCCGCTAGAGGGCGATTCTCGATTTTGAGCAATACTGTGAAATCTTCATAACTTTTTTGTTTATGAAAATAACTGATTTCCGTAAAAACTTCCTAGAAGCACTTTTTCAAGCAGAATTCAGTGACGTTTTCAGTTTTTTTTTATTGGGCCTCGATTTCAAGATATTGACCAAAATCCGATTTTTTCCAATGGGACACCCTATATATTATTAATAGCTCATTAGAAAGCTCTGCTTTTGCTGATTTCAATGATACAAATTTCGATGGGTTTATCTCTAGCAGTTTTTGAGAAAAAAAAAATATTTCGGCTTTTGTCATAAGAAACAATGAGTTAGAAAGAGACCTTTCTCAGTTTCCTTACAGATATAAAGTCCTTTTCTTACACATTACTTCTTATGACAAAAACCGAAATCATTTTTTTTCTCGAAAACTATTAAAGATAAACCTATCGAATTTTATATCATTGAAATCAGAAAAAGCCGAGCTTTCTAATGAGCTATTAATATATAGAGTGTCCTATTGGAAAAAACCAGACTTTGGTCAATATCTCAGTGTTGGGACCATCTAGAAAAAAACTGAGAACGTAATTCTGCTTGAAAAAGTGCTTCTAGAAAGTTTTTACGGAAATCAATAATTTTCATAAACAAAAAAGTTATGATGGCTTCACATTATTGCTCAAAATCGAGAATCGCCCTCTAGCAGCTAAACAGTTGAAGATATCAAAATGCGGTTTGCACCAATCAAAAATTCATGAAATTTGAGCCTCGGAGTGGGGGGTTAATTTTTTTGTATCTTGCTCAGAAATTGATGTTTCCTATCAAAACCATCCAAATTCGGACACCCTGTACAAGGATTATATGAACCTCGATATGAACCAATGTATTTGGTAGGCTTATTTTCAAAAAGGCTGGAAAACTGAGGGTTGGCAAACAATTTTCTCTATTTTTTGGATGGATTTTTGATGGAAATTTCCACATACATTAACACAAATATCTACAGAAAAATCCTATAAGAATATTGTACAGCGTGTCAAGTACGAAAGTTATAAAGTACTACCCCCTGCAACTTTTTTATTTTTGATTGTACATTAAAAAGTTACAGGGTGTGATACTTCATAACTTGATACCCGGTACAAGCGGAAAAAAAAGAAACATGTTTTTATCTTGGTTTTTATTGACACAAACTCTTCACAAAAAAAAAAACAGAAATTCCCAACAAATGTTTTATAAATGACGAATACAAAACCATTTTTGAAACATACTCCTTTCACAGAAAGAAAATTAAAATAATATTCTGAAACTTATAACTGCATAGCTCTTAAGGCGCCGGAATGTTCTACATAGAATACATTTCAAAGTATCTCAAGCTTTCTTAAATGTTCTCTGAAAGTGTTCTGGACCGGAATTCTCGTCTTCGAAAACTTTTAATATGAATTCACATTGAAAATGCTTAGCGACTAAAAAGCGGTGAGCGTTTTCGAGTACGAGAATACCAGCCCTGGTCTGTTCTAGAATGTTTCTGAAATTCTAATTTGATTCTACGGTGCTCTGGAGCATTTTAGAATGTTTTTGCAAGTTCCAATTTGTCTCAAACAAATGCAGGAGGAATGAAAATTGAATTGAAAGTCTTCTGAAGCTTATCAGTACCTACTAAATTTATTCTAGAGTGCTCTAGAGCGTCTAAAAATGCTTAAAAAAAAAAAAAAATTTGCACAAACCCAGGCACTAACGCTTTCTGAAGCTTTTCAAAATGCTTTCTAAAAGAAATTATAAGTTAGTTCTAAAGTGTCAAGCAAGGTGTCAAGTGACGATATTCTGAAAATTTCCAGTTCTAGATTGTTTCCAAAAGTTTCATATGATTTAAAAAGTGTTCTAGAGCGTTCCAAAATTCTCCTGGAAATTTTAACTTGGATAGAAACCTAAACTTTAAAGTAGGTATCTCAAGTTTTATTAAATGTTTCCCGAAGGTTCGGAAGTGTTCTGGTCTGTTCTAGAAAGTTTCTGAAATTCTAATTTGATTCTAGTGTTCTGTAGCGTTTTACAATGTTCCTGTAAAATCCAATTTGTCTCAAACAGATGCAGGAGGATTTAAAATTGAATTGAAAGTCTTCTGAAGCTAGTCAAAGGTCTACATTTATTCTAAAGTGCTCTAGACAACTCAAAATGTTTGAAAATGTTACAAATTGGCAGAAAACTTTTGAAAATGCTTTTTGAATTTTTCAATTGGTTTCTTGCTTAATGCTTTTGAAGCGCGGGAATGTTCTAGCAGTTATCAGATATCACCTCGGAAATCACCCAAATTTTCCTAAGCGCTTTTTGATAATTCTAATTGCAATTCTGAAGCTCATCAAAGTTCTAAATTGCTCTAGAGCATCTTGAAATGCTTAAAAATGTTCTAACTGGACGCTAGCACATTCTGAAGCTTTCCAAAATGTTTTCCCAAGTTTTAAATTAATTTCCTAATGATTCTGAAACGCTGGAATGTTTTGGAAGTTATCATAAATCTTCCAAATGTTTTTAAGTTCTGTTTGATACTTCTGTAGTTATCTGTTCGAAAATTTTAATATATGAAAATAGGTACATATACCTATAGGTATCATGCAAAAGCACAAATATCCACCAAAAACATCAAAAATCCAAACCAAAAATCCAATTCTTTATCTACTATAATACAGTTACTCGGATTTTTTCCAACCCTGTAAAAACTACTTGGTAGATTTAGGTTATAAGTTATTTTGTTGGGGGTGTGACTCGAGGTGTGATTTAGGGTTGGTTGAGGTTATTTTTTCTAATTTCTTATTTTGTCGAACTTTTCATTAATTAAGATTGCATACACTGTTGATTATTGATTTGTTTTATTTTCTCAAGGTACTAGTGCTAAAGCACTGATTCAGGGATTGGTTCAATTATTATTTGCAATCTTCTTCGCAATACTATATTAAAATCAAGATTGGAATAATAAAGAAATGTTCAACAAAAAGAAACTTATAAAAGCTATTTTCGGGTTTGAAAAAAGGACGGTTCTAGAACGGTTCAAAACAATTGCACAGTTCATCAATCCACAACGGCTCAGCTATCACAAATTTCAATAATAAACTGTGCAATTGTTTTGAACCGTTCTAGAACAGTCCTTTTTTCGAACCCGAAAATAGCTAAAGTTTGAAGTAGAATTTGCTAAGTCATTAAGCTAATGACAAAGGTGAGCTCTCGGGTGAACTTATGATTGTAGTGAAAGTAAATTCATTTAAATTCTTTCAACAATACTTAAAATTAAATTCCTACCTTTTGTTTTATGCTGTGGTGGATTATCATTGTGTCTCAACAGCCAAAGCACCTCGTCCCTTGCATAGCACAGTCCCATAAACACCATCAAGGCTTTGGGACCCAATAGACCCGGTTGATCAATGAAAATCAAACCGAGCTCCTTGAGGGCCGTTCTCAAAAACTTCCTCCTTTCCCTATGGTTGTAGCCAGCTTTCTGCACCGCTTGCTGATAAGCGTCTTTGATGTCAGATATTCTTTTGCCATATCCTGAAAATTATTGGATTTATTTTGAGAAGTTCTAAGATTTTAGTTACCTTTAAATGTATCCAAAAATGACCAAATATATTGATGAATGTGTAAAACTTCGTCACGAAACAAAGGCAATACCCAAAAGCTTTCCAAAGCATTCAAAAGTAGTTTATGGAAGTGATCTTGCCTGGTATCAATGAGAGTAGTGTGTATTAGCATTATACCAAACACAATCCATCTTTCCATTGTGTCCATTGACAAAAATTCGCAGCTCATTCTTTCAGAAAGGACTGGTTTAAGTAAAACCGATGGATTACCCACTAAACTTAGTTTTTGCTCAGTTCTCCATTGATCTGCTGAAACGTTCCTTGGCATATAAACCGGTATTAGTGAATATAGTGCTTGACTTAACAGTCTGGAATGAGGCACAAACTCTTCAGACAGTTTTTTGAGTGGCACATCATAGTCCATAATCATGGAGCCTAATCTAGGGAAGCTTGTGTCTGCTGATCCATGTACAATTTCATAGGCAGCATTAAATAAGCCTAAAACAGCTTTACGGTCTTCTACTCTTGATAAAAGTACCATAAGTGAAACATAATTGGTTACCAAGTCCAAGTAATTTTTGGACAGTTCAAAATTAACAGAAATATCTAATTCAACTTGATAAGCGTCCATGGTGGTTAAAAGCTCACAAACATGATCTTTAAAGTCTAACAAATCCACAAAAGTGTAGTAATACAAAGATAGGGATTTGATGATTTCATTGCGGAGCCCTTGAATGGGCGTCAGGCTTTTCGAGTCCAAATTGGGGAACCTACGGACAATACTTTTGATAGAAGATTCCAAGTTTTTGTCTGACAGGAATCCAGGCTTAGATTTAGCATCTCCACAAGCTTTTTTGATGTTGTAGATTCTCGTCAGCATCCCAACGCCCCTATCGTTGAGGATTATCAGTTTTTCGGCGAGCTTTCGCTCTAATTGACTCATTTGGCGGGCCATTATTCTACACTCAGGATTTCACTAGGGATTAGTTAAATTGATATTTTCAGTCATTAATAATTTAGGAAAAGGAAAATTGCATTTTTTTTTCTTCAGGTTTTTGATTTTTGTTGATGAAAATAAAAGTGACAGGCTGATGATGAGTGAACAGTCAGTAGCAATAGTGATGTTGACAGCTCACGAAACTGTAAACTGTGAATCGCATCTGGCGCCATCTCTTATCAACCTAACACCTAATAATTTCTTGGTTCCACTGATTCCAAAAGGAGCATAATTTTAGTAGATAAAATTTTCAACAAGAAGCTTATAATTTATGCAAAATAACTTACATCAACAAATTTAGAATAAAAGAAAATTAAATGTAAAAATTCATCCTGCTAAAGGGCTGTCATCCAGTATCAATTCTCTGTACCTTCGCGCCTTCACCATGACGTCAGAAATATTTTTAGTATGTATACCAAAGTCGTAGACCTAACTACTTCGTTTTATAGTAGTTAGGTCAGGGTCTATGCTAAATCTGTATAAGTTCTTCAGGTTCAGTTGTAGCATGTTGTAGTTATCAAGAATTAAGTACCTAATCCTACGAGCATGCGGTAAAGTGGACTTCACCGTCTTCACCGCACTTATTTGCAAGTGGAAATGAAAGAAGCTTTTTACTGTATAGTGTGTGGTAGGTAGAGTAGACTGCAATACTGCATAGTGTCCTGCTCGGTGTCCTGAGAATTACTTTACCGCATATACCCAGTTAGCACAAGTAGGTAAGTGCCATTCTAGCAACATATTGGGGATATCTGGGTCGGACATTCAGTAAGTCAGAGTATGTCTTTTAAAAGTTCTTGATCTTCCCTGGAACATACCTAGGGTACCTATATTTTGTTAGAAAACCTCTTATACTGAGTACCTTACCCAAATAACACAATGTGCGTCCATGTCGTCCATGTGCTCGAAAAATTCCGGCCGACTTCAAAGAAAATAGTATTTCGATGGTTAAGGTCAGTTGGGGTAAATGTGATAACGGGGCAAATGCAATAATTGGCATTTATTCTAACACAAGCGAAAATTTTAGACGTTAGAGTGGTTTTTATTACAGATAATATGTTTTCGAACGAACTCCCAATTTGGCGAATCGTTCCTGTCAGTTGTCAAAAATTTTCCGTTATTTTCCAAACAGCTGTTATTTTCGGTTACATGTCGAGTGCATCATTCAATTATTCGTGCTGTGGAGAGGGCAAGTAAAAATAAAGGTAAGCAACTGAATTTTTGGTTTTAGGGTGGATTGAGTATATATTTTGACTGTAGTATTTTACATTTTCGATATGTGTTTATGTTTTTTTTAACAACCCTATGGTACACTTGCCCCCCTCAATTTGAATTGTGGGGCTAATGTGCTATACTACATTTACCCCACAGTCATCTGTATATCACACTTGCCCCATTTTGATTTCAGGAAAAATGGTGCGTGTCTACAAACGGAAAACTCAGCCCAACCAGAAATATGATGATGAAATCTTGCAACGGGCATTACAGGAGGTTCGAGCCAATCGAATGACTATGTACCGCGCTTCCGTAGTGTATAACATCCCCTATAGTACCCTCTATAGCCACAAAAAGGGTTTACGCGGAGTGAAAAGCTCCACCAAGGGTAGAATATGTGCACTTTCACTTGCAGAAGAAGAAAAGCTTGTCCTTGGCCTTACAACCCTCGAAAAATGGGGATTTGGGTTAACTCGGAAGGAGGTCCTAGAACTGGTCGCTGAATATGTGACCAAAAACAACATCCAAACCCCCTTCAAAAACAATGTTCCTGGACCAGATTGGTTCATAAATTTCAAGAGACGTCACAAGTTAAGTTTAAAGATTCCACAAGCAGTCGAGTTTGCTCGCAAGAAAGCAACAGATCCTTTCATCATATATAAATATTTTGATTTGCTAGAAACAGTACTCAAAGACCTGGACTTGGGCAACAAACCAAATCAAGTGTGGAACTTGGATGAAAGTTCTTTCTCCATTGATCCGTCCAAATGTAAAGTCGTGGGGTTAAAAGGAGTTGCTTGTTCTCGAACCGTTAGCTCTCCTGGCCGGGAGAACACCAGTGTCTTAATGTGCGCAAGTGCAGCTGGTAATAAAGCACCACCGTTAATCATCTTCAAAGGTCTTAATGTGTGGGATCAGTGGATGGCCCCTCAAGGAACAGGATTTCCTGGAACAGTCTACGCTGCTAGCAAAAAAGGCTGGATGGAATCAACGATATTTTTGAATTTTTTCAAGAAAACTTTAATACCCTGTTTTGGAGACGAGAGACCGGTGTTAGTTATTTATGATGGCCACAGCACACACCTAAGTCCCGAGATCATTGAGGCAGCCTTGGCAGAACGTGTGACAATTTTAAAATTGCCCCCTCATAGCAGCCATCTTCTTCAGCCTCTCGATCTGGCGGTTTTTAAAGCTTTAAAGTCAAGATGGGACGAGAAGTTGGTGAGATGGCAAAGACAGCATGTGGGGCAAAAACTTCCAAAGAAATTATTTGCGCAATATCTAGGCGAAACATGGCAATCGCTAGAAGGCACCATAATTCAAAATGGATTCAAAAAAGGCGGAATAGTACCTTTCAATCGAAATGTTATTCCTAGAGAGAAGTTCTGCCCAGAAGCTCTTAAAAGATGGGATCTCCATAATCGACGTGCGGATCCTCCAGAGCATATAACGGCGGACAGTTCCAATATTCCAGTGCATGTTGCGGCGGACAACCCGTACAAAGACCCCGTTGCTTCGACTGCAGCTATGCCCTCTGATAACCCGCTCTCATTTGAGTCGCTTCTGCTCTCCACTGTTAAGCAAAAAACACCTAATGAGAAGCTTCCAAGGAAAAAAGTTGCCGCTGGGGCTGAAATAATAACCAACGAAATTCTTCTTTTCAAGTCCCCTCCTGTGAAACGTTCAAATAAGAAAAAGGAAAAGGCTGATAGTTCCTCGGACGATGACGACCCAGAAGACTTCTCGGTCCAGGACTCCGACAGCGATAATGAATATTTAGATTCTTTACGAAATCCCTCTCCAGAACCTACGGATGTGATAGAGCAAGTTCCAGCAGTTGACAAATGGGTACTTGTTGAGTACGCCACAAAAAAAACCAAGAAACACTTTGTCGGCCAAATAACCGAAAAGGATGGGAGGGACTGGGTAATTAAGTTTTCGCGACCAAAAGGAACTAAGTTTATATCACCTCTAGTAGATGACATCGATACGGTTGAGGAAGAAAACATTATTAAAGTGCTTCCTGAACCTGTAATTGATCGAAGGGGCATAATTTCATTTAATATAACCTTTACAGGGTTCAACATTAAATAAAAGCTAAAAAAGTAACCATATTTAAGTTAGAAATAAGTTGAAATGCCTAAAAACGTTTATACTTAATGTAAGAGAATTCCTATTAAGTTTTTTACCTGTTCCTCGTAAACAATAATAAAAGTTTTATTTTCGTTTTTTCACTTCTTGGCGTATTATTTCAAAACCCTGAAGTTGAGGCCCCTATAGGAGCCGCACAAATAATCTATTTTATGTAAAAAAATCCGCTCTTTCACAATAACCCCATCCCAAAAGTATATAAACTGCCTATGAGAGAGCAGAGACCATTATCACATTTGCCCCAGTAGGAGGGGTAAGTGTGATATAACAACATAGTTTTAAAAAAAAATTGCGGGAAAATCAGAAAAGGACCCTATCAGAAAAAAAATACTCAGAAGTGTTGAATAACATCACGATACACTATGTAATTTTTTTTTTTAAATTTTTGATGTTTTTGGTTTTCAAAGTATCGGCCACTAAAGTGTCACTATGCGAATTCTATAACACATTTACCCCAACTGACCTTATATGCATTTTTAGAAGTATGTTAAAAGTGCATAAAAGAGATACCTACTCCGCTCCGATCGTGCAGGTGGTGTACCCCCACCACACATATCAAATGTGGGAAGTAACGGAAAAGGGATAAGAAAACAGCAAGAAAGCAAGCAAGCTGAAGCAAAGAAGCCTGAGCCGAAACTGCCGCCATTGCGCCATTTTTGATTTTTCGGCATTTAGTTTCGTTTTTGGGTTTTTGTGTGTGTTTTCGATTTCACTGGCAGAACAATGAGTTCTGAAGGTAAGGTAAGTAATCATGAAACATTAATTATGGGTGCTGTATATGTGGTGATTCTAGGTGGTAGTGCATTAGTGAGTGTGTTTTCACTGTTTTCCACCATTTTAATTGTAAAAGGTACCATTGTTTCGTTTGTATCGATTTAACTCAAATACCCCACCTGCTCAATACAATACTGTAAACAGTTCAAACCAAATAACAAATAATGTTAGTCAAATTAGTGTACCTACCTAATAGATCAATAGATGCGATAGGGACCTCCTAGAAAGAAGTTCCATGGACGTTACAGGAGGAAATCCTGGGGCTGTGTAAACAAAACTCCTACGAAAGTTCGAAGAGAACTCCTAGGGATGTTAAGAATACAACATTCGAAGTCCAAAAAAACATACATGTGACATTAAAAGGGGAATTCCCAGGGACGTCCAAAAAGAACTCCTAGGGATATTGGAAAGGGAATTCCCAGGGACGTTTGGATTGGCATGGGATTTGAAATGAACGTCCTCAGGGTGTCACAAAGCTATATACCTAGACTAGTCGTTTGCGGACGTCCTGCGAAAGTTCTGAAACGTTCAGACCTAGATGGGCTCTGAAACATTTTCAGATTAGCCGTTAGCGAATGTTCTCAGGATCTCGGTTTTTAGTTTGGGACGTTAAGACTTACATGGGATCTAAACCGAACGTCATGGGGATGACCTGTACCTACTATCTGGGCAAGAGCCGGTTATATAATCCAAATATTTGAACCATTAACGGCTCTTGATTTTCTGGAAAAATTACCGATAGGGAGTCAAGGGCGGATAATAAACAAAATTTGAACTCCCACCGGCTGTTGGTTTTCTATTAAAACTACCCAGCAACTCAAGAGCCGGTAATAATCAAAAGGACATTGCACACATCTTATGGGTTTTCGGGGACCGGTCGATTTTTTTTAAAATTTGGTATGTTGTAGTACTAGTGAAAATAAGTATTTTTCATCATTGCGCAAAATCTCTAACTATACAGGGTGACCCAGTAAAGTGGGTCCGAAAATCATTGCCAAGCCGTTCATTTATTGATGTTGGCACGCATTGCAAGCTACATATCGGGATTTTTTTTTCTATTTCGCAAATAAATAGTCTAGATATGCCTAATATATTATACAGGGTGGCTAACCTTACGTATTCTTTTAGAAATACTGCACTATTCTTAGTAATAGTGTTACGAAAAAGGTCGTGCTGGAATTAATTTGCCCGTAACTTTTCCAATTTTTGTCTGATTTTAGAAAATCTGGTCTCAAAATAAAGCTTACATCACAGAGGGATGTCATGAAATCTGAAAAAATCAAAAATCTCAGAATTCGTGTGAAATATCGCCTTTTTTGGCCAGACATCTTCAATAATTTACATCCGAGGAAGCAAATAATACTCGTAAGATTACAAAGACATGTTGGATGGACATTTGAAATCTGTGTTTAACACAGAATGTTGTGACTAGTGCAAAATATTGAAAATGCCCTACATGAAAGGATTCAAAGAGAAAACCTCCAACTTAGGGGTGGTGGGGTGAGCCTTAAGTCGATTTACATGAAAATTATATTAATTTTTCTATTCTCACTGTTGAGTATTCATGAACTAAAACTTTCCGAATATATCTAAATATTTTCGGGGTTCACACAAGATAAGTAAGCAGAGATTTTCTGTTTGTATCATTTTTGTTCTCCCCTGGGCTGGATGGAGGGAATCCAGTATTGGGACATACTGCACATGCAAAGTTATCGCGTTGTTAGGTACTTTAGCTACGCTCGACATGAGAACAATGTGAAGTATCCATCAAATACGTTACTTATATTAGGGCCGGTTTATCAATAGCGAGTTATTTCCGGGTTGATTATAACTCCAGGGTAAACGTTTCTCCACAGCGAGTTAGCCATAACTTTTGGTGTAAGCTTGGGTTAAATTGGCTCACTGTTGATGATATTGCGGGTTTAGCGATTTATGGATTTATGGATTTACCCTTTGAGATAACCTGATGATTCGTGATCGTGATTTGTCAATTTTGTGGTAATATTTTATTTTTTTTTTCAAAATAGAAATATATGGATTGATTGATGAAGATATGAAGATTTCTACAATTTCGTAGGAAAAACACCTCATATAATCCGCCAAAGGATTAATCCTCTCGAGAACTACGATGACTAGGATTTCTCTACAAAGGATTAAAAGTTCATGTCTGACCTCGTGCACCCTATATTTCGCTTATATTATAGCTTGATTATTATTATTTTTTCTAATTCAAGGAATTTCTTTCCTCTTGCGATATCTTTCTTCTCCATGACTATTGACTACACACACTGCATTAACAACGCTCTTCAAAAAATAACAAATTGTAATGAAAAAACGGTGCGCCAAGAAGAATACTCGAACTTATCATTAACTTAACAACAAACTCCAAAAAGTTTTGTGAATGGGCTAATTTGACGATCGACCCATGCGTGACTGCTTTCGACCAATCAAAAATATGTTAGGATCACCATTCTGGTAAACAATAATGCTACCAACTATTGCTTAACCCAGTGTTTATTAACTTCACCTACAGTGGATGCTTGAGAAACACAATCCTCAGTTAACCTGCAAGGTTGAAATTAACACCGGGTTAGTTAACCCCTAGAGTTACTCGCAATTGAGGAACCGCCCCTTAATTTAGGTGTATTTGGTGCAATGACCTATTAACACAGATAGACAGAACAATAAACAATAATATCGGTTGACTACATGCCAGGAACCGCATCTCTCCCCACTACTTATTATCCTCGTGTTAATTTGTATCTTTCTCTAACACGTGGAAAGCGATTATTTTTCAATGAAAATTAGCAACGCTGCAAAACAATAAATCCCACCTCGAATTCCACCTTTCCACCAATCAGCGGCTTCTATTCAATTGTCATGTCAAAATGCGAGGAGCAGGTACTTTATGACAATTTCCATTTGTCAATCAGTGCGCAGTGAGTGTATCCGCATCTTTTTCTAAAATTATGTAAAATATAAGGATAAAGATACACTTTTGTAGCACTAATTCTGGTTTCATTTTCAGAGTTGCCAAGTATGCGATAGTAAAACGGGGGCCGAGTTAGCGGAATCATTTGAATCCCTACTCCTAGCCGCTTTCACAGCTCAACCCCCCTGGCCCATAAACATGTAGTCAACCAAAACAAAGCTATTTTATCAATGGGATGTTCTGTCTATCTGTGTTAATAGGTCATTGATTTGGTGCATCCAAGACCCTAATCGAATGAAAAGTTATACTTTTATCACGTTCAACCATCTCGAATTTTATCACATTTTTAATTTTTTTAGATTTCATGACATCCCTGTGATATAGGCTTTATTTTGATACCACATTTTTTTAAATCGGACAAAAATTAAAAAAGTTACAGCTAAATAAAATCCAGCGCAACCTTTTTGGTAACACTAGTTCTAAAAATAGGGCAGGATTTCTAAAAAAAATACGCAAGCTCAGCTACCCTGTATAGTATATTAGGCTTATCTGACTATTTATTTGCGAAATCGAAAACAAAAATCTCGATATTTAGCTTGCAGGGTGCGCTAATACCGTTAATAGAAAGGCTTGGTTTATGATTTTCGAACCTACTTTACTGGGTCACCCTGTATAGTTAGAGATTTTGCGCAATGATGGAAAATACTTATTTTCACTAGTACTACAACATACCAAATTTTTAAAAAAATCGACCGGTCCCCGAAAACCCATAAGATGTGTGCGATGTCCTTTGAACTATATTACCGGCTCTTGAATGTCTAGAAAAACTTCCCAGCAACTCCAGAGCTGGTAATATTCAAAATTTGAACTATTACCTGCTCTTGGTTATCCGGAAAAATTACCCCGCAACTCAAAAGCCGATGATAGTCAAAAATTGAACTATTACCCAGCAAACATCGAATCATCTCATAGAAGTATCAGAGATATACCTACCTTGAGGTATGCGAATCACACACACTAAATTCTACGAACATCTCACAGATCGCGCAGTAGCTGCCAAATGTCCGCCTCAAGGATATCTTAGTGCGCGTTCACATTGGCACCGCTCGAGCGGTGAGCGTTGCGCGATGCCGCTGTAGCGATGCCCAAAAATAATTTTAACATTATATTTCGAGTGAACATGTTAACACCGCGGGACGCGCCGCTTCAGTGTGACCATGTTTATTTGAGATATAATGTTAAAATTATTTTTGGGCATCACTACAGCGGCATCGCGCAACGCTCACCGCTCGAGCGGTGTCAATATGAACGCGCACTTATGTCATATGAAATGCAAACATCCCATAGAAGTCTTGGAAGAACATCCACAGCTGGTCTCAAGGATATCTTGTTATATGGAAAGCAAATGTCCCATAGAAGAAGAAAGAACATCCACAGTAAATCTGAGCAAGATCTTCAAGCGACAGTACTTAGAATGTCGCGCGCTAGCCAATGTTTTTGTAACATTGTAATTCGAAACCACTTTGAGAGAACATTAGCAAAAACTATACAGGGTGTTTGGTACATCGATAGGAAGTTTTCAATGAGTGATAGTTGGGGTCATTTGAAAGCTGTTTGACCACATTTATCCTTATGCAAAACTTCTCATAGCTGAGTAACTCCTGGAAAGAAGTCCCATGGACGTTACAAGAGGAAATCCTAAGGTTGTGTGAACAAAACTCCTACGAATGTTCAAAGAGAACTCCTAGGGATATTAGGAATAGAACATTCAAGGAGGACCAAAAAGAACATGTATATACAGGATGATTAACGTAACCCGTGCATTGGATTGCAGGTGGATTACTATCTCTACTAATCCATCTGCAATCTGGAAAAGTTCTAATGCATGGGCTACGTAAATCACGGTGTATTTGTTTGAGTCTAATCAAAGAAAATTACAAATTGAAGTTAATAAGTAACATATGGAAAGCGTATTTATATGCAACATCAAATACCAAATTTCAATTGGAAGTATTTATATAACCTCAACACTCAATTTATAGTGGACCACCCTGTACCAGATTGAAAGTTGAGACATAATCCCACATTTGCAAGTTACCTTGTTTTTAATATGTAGGTAAAAAAAATGCTCACATAAATATAAAGAACATGTCAATACAAAGTTTCAGATTTTTACAAATGAATCTTGAGAAAAAGTGTCCAATTTTTCCTAGATAATTAACTTGGCTCCTGGACTATTAGGCCTACTTAATTATTGACCAAATTCTTATAAATCCTTCAAACCATTGCATACCACGTGTATATTGGGAAAATATCCCACAGGACCGCGTGTGTTTTTCTCTTAATTTTTATCAAAGAGTGGCTGAAATGATGGATTATATTGTTACCATTGACCTCTTTGGAAAAGATAGGTATAATACAATGTTTAATTTAAAACCCTCAAAAAAAAAGTTAATAGCCAAATTTGCCCAAACCAAGTTTACCGATATGTTCCGCACAGGCCACTCTTTAAAATCGTATGTAAGGAAATATACGTATCGTCGGGCAGGTATGATTGACACGGCCTGCGGTACACTAAAGTATGTGTCAAGCATATACAGGGTGACAATTTGAAAAGTAGCAATCGGGAATATCTTTTAGACAAAAAATACTATCAGGAAGATCTCAAATACATAACCGCTCCTGTCTTGGAGGTTTGCCCCTAATGATTTTTCTAAAATGAGGAACTACCCTGTGTGATATCTTCTTTGAAGGCGTGACCAATTCATTTCATTTACATATATAATCACTTGACTCTTCATCTGGGGAACACAGAAACAATTTTGCCTGGCAAAGTTGAAGAGCATTTAGCTATTCTATTAAAGCCCCATTAGGCTGAATTCACTTGAAACCACGTTGTGCAGCTGACACCCAACAGCAAATTGGACCCCGTTATGCAAGAAGGAACCAAACAACATTTTGGTTAAAAATGAGTTAGACCCTTCTTTCAAACTTTAATATGGTTTCTCACATTTCGCAATACAGAACCAAGGTATAAATCACTTGTAGCGCCATCTATTGATTCAAAGAACCACCTGAAAATTCCAAAATGGGGGCTTTGTGATTTTCATCGAAGATCCAAGTATGCTTGGTTTTTGATTGCAAGATGCCAGTTAAAACTTCTTCAATATTGGGGAACCAATGTTCCTTGGAACCTTTTTGCAAAATGTGTTATTTCACTATTGCAGCTTAGGTAGCGAAGGTCTGTTGGTGGTGAATGTTAGTAGTCGTTATGTATTCCAAAAAAACAATATTAATGGTAGAAAAAGCTATGGCAATGTCGTCAGATATTCCAGGCACTTCGGTAAGTTGAATTAAATTATCATGATCTGTTTTATTCATTATATTATGTGTAAATAATAATATCATAACCTCAAAATTTAATTATTATTGTTTTTATATAAAAAATACGTATTTGATCGTTATTTATGTGGAAAAAGAATAAACATTGTTTATAATAATTGACTACTCTTAATAAATATAATAATCAATGTAGGAACTTATAACATATTTTGATTAGATCTACCGTAAAACGGGGCTACTTGGGCATCCCGGGGCTACTTGGGCACCCGGATATATTTATTTTTTTTTTTTTTTCCACTTTGTTTATTTTTTTTTTTTTTTGTTTTTTCAGTTTTTTCTCATTTGTTACAGGTGAACATTAGCTAAAATGGTGCGAAAATACGGGAGGACCCCAGGGTCCAGAAATTACCGCGATTACACCCAAGAAAATGTTGATGGTGCTGTGGATGCGGTTAGAGCCAACATGTCTCAAAAACAAGCCGCGGAAACTTACAAAGTCCCACGGGCCACCCTTCAGCGGAAGCTCCTCGGAAGAAATTCCAATCCAGTTGGTCACCCGAGAGTTCTATCAACCGAAGAAGAGGCCACCATCACAGAGACTCTTGGTATCGTTGCCGATTGGGGATTCCCATTAACAAGGTATGATGTGAGGCTTCTCATTGCTAAATACCTTGGAAAACAAGGGAAACGTGTTAAAATCTTCAAGAACAATATCCCTGGGGATGATTTCCTGGAGACTTTTATTGCCAGGAACCGATTGTCAGTTCGACTGGCATCGAATCGAAAGTGTCTAGAGCATCGGTTGATAGGGAGGACATTATGACTTTTTTCAACAATATTCGAGAGGCTCTCATTGATGCAGAAGCATATAATATATACAATTACGATGAAACTAACATCACGGATGACCCTGGATCCAAGAAGGTCATTGTTCCACGCATCACCAAGAGGGTGGAGAGAGTACAGACTCATTCACGTACCGCTATTAGCATTATGGTGTGTGGTAATGCTGAGGGGGATCTGCTTCCCCCTATGGTTGTATACAAAGCCTCTAACATGTACGAAAATTGGAGTGAAGGTGGACCTCCAGGGACTAAATATGCAAACAGTGCAAGCGGGTGGTTTGATATGAATCTTTTCGAAATGTGGTATTTCAAAATCCTTCTACCACATATCAACTCCACTCGGGCACCAGGCACAACAACTATTGTCGTGGGAGACAACTTAGCAAGCCACTTTTCTCCTAAAGTGATTAAATCCTGCAAAGAAAACCATATATACATGACACCTTTTCCGGCAAACGCGACCCATCTCATGCAGCCACTAGATGTGGCTGTATTCCGCCCGATGAAAATTAAGTGGAGGCAAATTTTGGACACCTGGAGGAAGGAAGGTCGCTATCCCGGAAACCTGCCAAAGGAACAGTTCCCAGTGTTGCTTTCTAAACTATGGAAAGCAGTGTCTGAAAACATAGGACAAAACTTATTATCGGATTCAGAGCAACTGGCTTACATCCTCCTGATCCCACTCAAGTGCTTAAGAGAATTCCCGACGGTGTCTTAATAGACAACCAAGCTGTTCGTAGAACCTTAGATGCTTCTCTTATAGATCTCCTCAAAGAACATCGAGGGATAGGCTCCGAGGCTAAAAAGAGAAAGAGAGGTAAAAAAATCCAACCGGGTAAAAATTTAGCTACAAGTACACCGCCTGAACCAACTCCTGAACCCAGAGATGCATCAACTCCCGAACCAGAAGATGAATCAATTCCTGAACCAAGAGATTCACCAAGTCGTTCCAATTTAGCCTTTGGTGGCATAGACGAAACTCTGCCTGATCTTGCATCTACTTCTGGTTTAAGCTTCGCTGCTCTTAAGAAAGGGAAGAAGCCAAGGAAGAAAATGACGTTGACAGTCGAAGTAAGCCAAAGACAAAAAAGGCGCGACAATAGCTCCAAATGTGGAATTTGTCTCTGCAATTGGAAAGACTATAGTCGGTGTCAAAAATGGATATGCGGTCCATGTAACAACGGTAGCAAAGATCCTTACTTTGTTTGCGAGCGATGCGATGATTCAGAAGATGAGGGAGATGAAATGTGCGATGATTCTGATGCAGATAAAGACTTCGATCCGGATGATGTTTAGTTTTAAGTTCAGGATAAGCTCAAAAACCCATTATTATTATTTTTTATGTTTGAAGAAATTTTTCTTTTGGGTTAGTTGGGGTACCTACATAGTTTTTCAACATCAATCAGTATTATTTTTTATATTTAGGGAAATTTTTCGTTTGCTTTAGACTGTTTTTTACATTATAAGTCAGTATTTTGCCTATTTTTGCGTTTTATTGCTAAAATATGATGATTTTTTTTTTTTTTTTTATTTTAAATATCTGCCATGCCCATTTTTTCCTGCTTCATCTAAATATGGGGTAAACTGGGCAAAATACTTATTGAAATGAAAGTTATAACGTATTTTCTAAATATGCCCAAGAAGCCCCAAACCCGGGGTAACTTGGGCACCCCATTAGTTATTTTTTTTCTCGAAAACTATTTACATTTTTCACATTTTTTTCACGTGAGAGGATGCTTTTCAGTCATGTCGGTATAGCAGAATTTTTTCAAGATAATCTGCTAGATATTTTTTGAGTTATTCGAAAAAATGTCTCGAAAACATGCCCAAGTAGCCCCATTTTACTGTATCATTTTATCAAAAATGCAGTTGGTTCCCTATTGCTAGTTTCAGCTATATCTTTTATTTTGTCTAGTTAAACAAATAACTATGCTTGGGTTTGTTTGGTAATTATTATAATAGTATATTTCTTACAGGGTCTAGAAAAGCGTGAAGTCACAAACTCCGAACTACAAAACAGTTGTGATAAATTTAGTGATAATGATCATTTAAAACACAATAACGAAGTTGATGATATTCAAGAGTTCGAAGACTCCGACGATTCTGTCAAGGACAAGGACTATGGTCCAACCGCTTCTGATGAATCCTCCGTCGATAGTGATTTCGATCAGCAAGAGGTGCCATTACCAGAAATTACAGAAGCAGATAATTACAAATAATAACAATATATCACTATAGTGGAAAAATATAAGGGCCGTCCGAAAAAGGGAAGAAAAATAAAACATGAAGGACAGGATAGAGCAAAAAGGAAGAAACTGACAAACAGTAATAAGCAATATTATTCAGCTAAAGGAAAACTGGTTCATCCAAAAGAATTTGTTAAATATATATGTCCATGTTCCATGGAATGTCACCAAAAAGTATCTATTGAAGAGAGAAAGCAGTTTTTTGACCACTATTGGAACTTGGGAGACTATAACGTTCAAACAACCTACTTATCGACATGTGTTAGGGAAGAAAAGAAAAAACGGGCACATACTGCTGCCAGAAATCCAGAAAAGCGACAATTTTCCAGACAATACTTTATCAACAAACATCTTGTTTGTAGAAATATGTTTGTTAAAACTCTCCAAATCTCAACTAAACGCATTAATACATCACTTTGCAAGATAAGGAAATTATCAACACTTGACTGCCGAGGTGTTGCTGGTGGTCACAACAAAATTTCTGATGAGAAAAAAAATTCAGTTATCAGTCACATTAATAAATTTCCCCGCTATAAGTCTCACTACTGCAGAATGAAGAAAGACAAACAGGAACACCTAACAGAAGGAACGACACTTACAGTTATGTACAAGCTTTACAAAGATGAAAATGTAAATAATCCAGTCAGCTTCTCCTCTTACAAAAAAATCTTTTTACGTGATTTTAATTTAAAAGTCAAAAAGCCTAAGAAAGATACCTGCAATAAGTGCGACACTTTTGACATCAAAATAAAAAATTTACCTGCCGGAGAGGAGAAAGATAAACTCAGTTTGGAGCATAGCGTCCATTTGGCGGAAGCAGAGAAAGCTAGAAGTAAGATGAACAGTGACATCGAAAAAGCAATCAATAACAATGAAATAGAAACACTGACCTTTGACATGGAAAAAACACTCCCGCTACCACGTATTAGTACAAACATTATATTTTATAAAAGGCAGCTGTGGCTTTATAACTGCGGGATATTTGCAGGAAAAGAAACAAAGTCTACTTTTAACTTGTGGCTTGAAGGACAAGCGGGTCGCGGTGCCCAAGAAGTGGGTTCTTGTTTGCTTCTATATATTGCAAATAATATCTCAAAAACCGTTAAGAACCTGATATTATGGAGCGACTCCTGCGGAGGACAAAACCGCAATATCAAAATGGTGCTTCTGTTAAAATGTGCTCTTGAAGTATCTACACACCTCGAAAGTATAGAGCTGCGCTTTTTAGTATCGGGACATAGTTTTCTGCCCAATGACAGTGATTTTGGGGATGTAGAATGCGTTCTCAAAAGGCAAACTAAAATGTATTCGCCTGAGGATTACATCCAGGTTATGAAATCCTGCAGAAGGAAGCATCCCATTGAGGTTGTATCTATGGAAAAGAAAAACTTTGTGAGCACCAAGATGCTCGAAAAAGAAATCATTAACAGAAAAAAAAGCTGCGAAGAGGAGAAGATCAACTGGTTGAAAATTAAAGAGATAAAGATTTTAAAAGAAAGTCCCTATTGTATTTTCATCAAAACAAATTATGAAGACTCCGACGACTATAAAGAAATAAATATTAAAAAAGGAAAAGGAAAACCACAGAAAACACCTTTTTCTAGACATTTAACACCTCTTTGGCCTGACGGAAAGCCTATAGCAGAAGCTAAACTCAAAGATATAAAGAGCTACCTACACTTAATTCCTCTGGCGGACCATCCATTTTATGTTAACCTTATTGGTGATGATACAATCGAGGAAGACCTAGAGGGATATAACGCAAATCTAGATTTCGAAATAGAAGAAGACATTCTCAAAAAAAAATATTTTGCAATAAGGAACCAAGTGTTTTTTTTCTTGTTATATTGAAAATTTTCTGTTTATTTTTCTAGTGTTACCTTGATATACTCACAAGTAAATAAAATGCTACAAAAAAACAGCTTCTTTTCATTCATAGTTGCTCTTGTTTTAAGTAAGAGCTAAAGTACTATTTTTATTTTTTTACTCAGAAACATGTTTTTGTTAGTTGGTCCCCTATTGCATAACGGGGTCCAATTATAATTCAACCATTTCTCGCCGGTATTCGGTAGTGCCCCACTGCTACACCTACCTTATATAGTGTAATCGTGTAACAAAGGGGATCCAAACCTATTATGGTGGACGGCTTCCCCAGGGGACACCAATTACCAAAAAAATAATAATCAAACCATGATTTGTTGCTCCGGATATCAGTGAAATGCAACTTCAATTGTTGAGAGGAAGTTATTGAAAACATCTATAGCCAAATGCTTTAAGTCTAATACCAAACATAATACTTAACTAGAAATAGCTCAAGGATGATTAGGTATAATAATATTGAGATAAATAAATCCTTCCATCAAAGGGCCCCATTCACGTGGAGATCGGTATCGATACATGTTTCGCGACAGGAAGCGCTAAATGTATCTGAGATTTGTATCTATGTTTCACCTGCTCCTAGACGTTGAAATGAGCTCAGGAAACAGTCAAACATTAGTTCAGTTCGATCAACATGGGTATTATTCATATAAATTCAAAAATTCCTCCCAAAACTCACGATCTTGCATGTTGGAACAACACTGTTTATATTTTTAGTAGCGCGATACATAATAAACTTCAACATACACGTTGAAACAAGTATCAGTTGCATGCGTTCGGTATCGAAGTTTCAGTACCGGCGATACCATCTGTTACCGATACAGCGATACTGAGACAGACAAATACACAGATTTGTATCAAGATACTGATACTTGAAAAATGTATCGATGCCGATCTCAACGTGAATGGGGTCCTTTACTTGCTGAAATGCACAAGACATCAATTTCGGATTGTTTCAAAAATGTGATGGAAAACCTTTTAAGAATGATCATTATTCGAGTGGAGAAAATTGCCAAAATTACTAAGTGCAATACAATAGGTTTCCACTGTATACTTATTCATGTGACATTTAAAGCGGAATATTCCCAGGGATGGGATTTAAAACAGAAGTCTTGAGGATGTCACAAAGTTATATTCCTAAACTAGTCGTTTGCGGACGTACTGCGAAAGTTACGAAACGCTCAGACCTAGATGGGCTCTGAAACAGAATGTCCAAAACGTACATTTCTAGATTAGCCGTTACCGGACGTTCTCAGGATTTCGGTTTTTAGTTTGGGACGTTAAGATTTACATGGCATCTAAAACAGACGTCCTCTGGGGAGGATCTGTGCTATCTGGGGTGCGTAGACTTAAGTATTGATACCTAATCAAAAATCCCTTCTCCTTCAGAAATTGCAATAATACCTTTTTTTGGAAATGTAGATTCTCATACGACGTAAAATTTTGTACCCAACTCCATTGAGAATTAAAGTTGAAATTGAAATAGTCCTCGCAGCTGTTCTCATTTATGATAGTTTATTTTACATTACAAAAGCTCTTTCATTTCTATAATTATTCTATACATAGTAGGTACCTACTTGGATACTTTATATTACTACAATAATAATTCCAACAATTTCTAATTTTTATTTCCAAATGTTACAAGCAATTTTTGTATAATAAAATAATCAGAGAGGTAATTTTGAGACTCAAACATTAGGCCAGCAGGCAGGTAATAAATAAAGGGGGTAGCTGGAAAGTATTCCGAAGTTCATGATATTTTGGCATGTCGTTTGTAGATAGTCTGTAGAGTAGAATCTAAGTTTTCGACCTCGAGGACCCTGTGCTAACTTGGGGAGAAGTTAAAAAACCTAGAAATTTTCGAATTTTTTCAGCTTTTGGCTTATAACTTCTAAACCATGCGTTTTTAGCGGAATACACTCATTTATGAAGTTGAAGAAAATTTAATTTTATTCAAATTTAACTTGTCAAAAGTGTTCTTTAACATAAAAGTACCCGAGATAAAGTGGTTAAAAGATACTAAAAAAATCTCAACTTCTCAAAAATTTCTTTCCGTCCGAACATAAAATTTAGGTTATAGGACAAAAACCTGCATTTGTATGCTATTTTTGATAATCTGGAAAATTACTTGAATTTTTGAATCACTTACTATATCTCAGTATCTATTGGATCGAATAGAATCTTAGTTGGAGGGACCATGTAAATAACTTAATAACTAATTAAGTAATGCCTATGATTAGTTGCATATACTGTATTTTGTTAGCAAAACAAAGATGTGTGTAAATAATGCCTACTTTTTGTCGCATCTCAGGTACCTACTCCCTGTGTGGGGTAGGTGTGGAGTGGTCGAATTCAATAACGTAAAAATTTCACAAAACAAAATATTAAAAATTCTTTTTAAATACAATAGACGCACACATACAGAATTCCTTTACGGGGAGCTAGGTGTGCCTTTTATGCAAATGCTACTAAAGGGTTGAGGAATGTATACTGGTGTATAGGATACTTAATAAGAAACGTGAAACCAATATAAACATATTTTCCCACGAACACATACGAAAATAACAAAATTCTCACTAGCTGGTTCTTTGGAAAGCGCTAAATATCACACGCGTGCTGAAAGTACTTTTAGCACACGTGTGGAAAATACTGTTGACATTATTTGTTATTGACATCACAATTTACTTCCAATACGTGGATTGAGAGTACTTTAAATTATTAATGATTATTAAAAGTTTTCAAAATTTCATGTCCAAAAGGAGAGGCAGTTCCCAAATGGTCAAATTTCAATTTTTTTTGTCAGAAACACCATACAGTAATTTATTGTGGGATTTGAAGGCAAAATATACAATATATGAAAAGAGGACCTCAGAAAAAGTCGAAAATCAAAAATTCAATCCAAGTTCCTTAACGCGATTTTTTCTCAGGAACTATACTTAAGTCCAAAAGACTTGATATTTTGCAGTGTTTGTAGTCCTTCACTATAATAGAAAAAAGTTCTTTTTCAAAGTTTTCATCATGAGCAGTGGCAACAGCGTTTAGGCACATTGTGAGTATTAATTAACATCAGTTTTTGTTTTTAAATGTAATGGACT